GCACAGGCTCCAAGTTGCTCAAAGGAGAGTACGAGAAGCGTCGCGGATCAGAGCCTTGCGGGTACTGATGCTCCAGCACAACACGGATGTTCACGTTCTCTGGCACCGAACTATGGCGATGCTGTCGATCTGAATCTCCCTGGGGTGACTTGCTCTTGCTTGGAGGCGTGGCAGGCTTCTTAGGTTGGGGTGACGCCGAAGCAGCTTCGATGGCTTTCCCATCATCGGCTGCTTCATACTCTATCAGATTCGGGTTGTTGATCTCGCCTTGTCGCGTACCCTGCAATGGTTAGCTTGGGCCGTGAGACCGTTCAGTAAGCAAACTTACGCGTGTTGGATACACAGTTCCTGGCATCATGACATATTCATCCAACGTATGCATGAGTTTGGCGAAGTTGAAACCATGTCCTGGCCGGCTTGGAAGGAACCTCTGCCCAATGTCGTGTTCAAAACTGAGCATACAATGTTGATTCGGCATATACTTGGAGAGATTCGTGTACCACTGGGGATACGTGCCGTACCAGGCTCCGACATCCGCGTTCAGATCGACCGACATGTATATATTCTCGCAATCTTCCGGCTTCTGCACAAGTAGGACGAAGTCGAATTCTCGTGGCAAGCCTGATTTTTGGAGCATGTTCTCCGTGAGTGTCCAGACGGCCTTGGCGTCTTCGACATCGTACTCTGATCCGTGTGGGCTTCGCTTCGATCGCACCGATCCTTGGATGCTCATCATGTGGAAGACTTTGTAGCTGCTCTTCATAGCTGCTTTCGGGTTCAGCGAAGCAGATACGGGCGCCTGCGATACGCCTAAGGAGCTCGATAAGCTGAAGTTCCACTGCAGGTTCTCTGGCGACACGGATCCAAACATCAGCTCTGGCGCATGCTTCAAGATGCGCGGATGCGGCGCGCCTGGTTTCCGGGGTGTGTTTGGGTCACCATCATCGCCATGGACGGTGACTTCGATTTCGGCGCTCTTGAAACGGTGTGACTCTGGGTCGTGGGGATGAAAAACAAAGTGCACCGAAACGAAGAAGAGGTTGTTAATGTCGGGTTCGTGGAGCGCGTTCGACCTGTAGTAGCCGTGTTGAAGTCGATTAACATGGGCTGAGATGTACGCGTTCCCGGGTAACCGGCGCTCATAGAGGCATTTTTTGTTGATTTGGAGTCGCTTCCTTGGTATATTCGGATCTTTGGGTGGGGGTTTGACTGTTACTCGACTTCTCTTGACAGGCGGATCAGGTGTTTGCTTTTCCGGTTCAGGTTCGTCGCTCTCTCCCTTGAGATGTCGCATCAAGGAGTGCATCGTAACGTAGAGATATGTCGAAGATGGCGTTCACTAGACGCGCGGGTCGACAGTCGCGGAGTATCAGGATGTGGTTCGTGCCGGCGATGTCATCGACGCTACCGGCTACGGCGGTATTTCTGGTGAGTCTGGATTCGAGCTTATCATGGCTGCGACGCGATGCGGGAATGTTGAAAAAAGGAGAAGGGACGAAGGCCTGAGACGCGTCAGGTTGGATAGGAGCAAGATAGGTAAGAAGGTTGGTGGCATAGGCCGAATGAGGCGTAGATCTGCATGTCTCAGTGGTGCTGGTGTTGAAACCAATAACCCCTACGTCATGCTGAGATTAGCTCGAACCAAGACAGGCACGCGCAGGTTCGCGACACCTGAATGGTCTGGCGAAAGTACATGTGCCTAGAATTGCATCCATGGATTGCTGGATGAAGGTTAAGAGCGCGTTGCCGCGGACGTAAGCTCCTTATCAGCGCGCGTCTTTATCGCAAGCGAACCCCGCAGCATGGCCCAAAGAGGTGAGGCCTGTAGCGGTAGAGTCGGTAGAGTCGGACTGGAGGATGGTGGGGATTCAAATACAATCTAGAGACGCGTTGTATTGTTCATTCTCTTGGCTGCTTTTGTGTATACAAGATGCAGTTGTGTCCAAAGGAGGTGTGTGACATGGTGCCATGTACGCGTGCGGCCCCTGCTGACCATCGCGTCACAGCTTGACAAGCTCGTCATATCGCAGCTCGGACTCCTTGCGCAACGTCGACTGGCAAGGGGAGTGAAGCTGAATCATGCTGAAGCCACCGTAAGTCTCACATGATATGGCGTGAACGCTGCTAATGCTATCAGGCTTTGATCGCGAACAACCTCCAAGAAGTACGACCTCCGACTTCGCGCGCATCCCCAGTCGCATGCTGAACGCGTACAGCTTATCCGCGATGGAAACCACTCGGTCGCCGACCTCATGTCCATTGGCACGACGATGCTTGGTCGTCGCCATGTACAGCCCTCTGTTGTCGCCTCGCTCGGCGAGCTGATGGTCGAAGGCACCTTCCCAACCGGCACATACCTCGTTACCGTCCACAACCCAGTGTCCACCGACGATGGCGACCTTGAGAAGGCGCTATATGGCTCTTTCCTGCCGATTCCGTCGAACGACATGTTTCCACTGCCCGATTCGAGTGTTTACGAGAGCACGAAGCAGCCAGGCGCGATTGTGGCAGTCAAGGGAGAGGCTGGTATAATCAAGCTGAATGAGGGGCGCAAGAGGATCAAGCTCAAGGTGAAGAGCATGGGAGATCGGCCAATTCAGGTATGGAAATAATCATGCGACTACAGGCATGCGACTCACATGATATAGGTCGGATCGCATTACCACTTCATCGAGACGAACCCACAACTCCAATTCGACCGTGTCCGAGCTCACGGATACCGCCTCGATATTCCCGCAGGCACATCGGTGCGCTTCGAGCCTGGCGATACAAAGACGGTCACTCTGGTACAGATTGGTGGTAACAAGATCATAAAGGGCGGAAACCAGATCGCCTCAGGCTTCATCGAGGACATGTCGGTTGCAAATGGCATCGTGGAGAGACTGAAGTCTGGCGGCTTCCTTCACGAGCCAGAACCGCATGGCGACGCTGCGCATATCGACATCTGCACCATGGAGCGACTGTCCTATATCAGCATGTTTGGTCCGACGACCGGTGACCTGGTCAGATTAGGCGCCACAGACCTCTGGATCAAGGTCGAGAAAGACATGACCATATACGGCGACGAGTGCGCTTTCGGAGGAGGCAAGACACTAAGAGAAGGCATGGGACAAGCTGGAGGTGTATCAGACAAGGATTCGTTGGATACCGTCATCACAAATGCTTTGATTATCGACTGGTCTGGCATCTACAAAGCGGACATTGGAATCAAAGATGGTATGATCGTTGGCATTGGCAAGGCAGGCAACCCGGATGTCATGGACGGTGTGGACCCCAACTTGATAGTTGGTTCATGCACCGATGTCATCTCTGCTGAACACAAGATTGTAACAGCAGGTGGTTTCGACTCCCACATCCACTTCATCTGTCCTCAACAAGCACACGAAGCTATAGCATCAGGCATCACGACGATGCTCGGTGGCGGCACAGGACCCAGCACGGGTACAAATGCAACAACATGCACACCAGGCAAGACGCACATCCGACAAATGCTCCAAGCCATCGACGAACTCCCCGTAAACTACGGTATAACAGGGAAAGGCAACGACGCCGAACTCCGCCCCCTCCAACAACAAGCCGAAGCCGGCGTCTGCGGCCTCAAGCTCCACGAAGACTGGGGCAGCACCCCCGCCGCCATCGACGCTTGCCTGACAGTCTGCGACGAATACGACATCCAAACGCTCATCCACACCGACACACTCAACGAATCCGGCTTCGTCGAGTCCACCATCGCCGCCATCAAAGGCCGCACAATACACACGTACCACACCGAAGGCGCAGGCGGCGGCCACGCCCCCGACATCATCAGCGTCGTCGAACTCGACAATGTGCTGCCTTCTTCCACAAACCCAACCCGCCCTTACACGCGCAACACGCTCGACGAGCACCTCGACATGCTAATGGTATGCCACCACCTCTCCCGCAACATTCCCGAAGACGTCGCCTTCGCCGAATCCCGCATCCGCGCCGAGACCATCGCCGCTGAAGACGTCCTGCACGACCTCGGCGCCATATCCATGATGTCCTCTGACTCGCAGGCCATGGGCCGCTGTGGCGAAGTCATTTTACGCACATGGAACACCGCGCACAAGAATAAAGTGCAGCGCGGTACGCTGAAGGAAGATGAGGGGACCGATGCGGATAACTTTAGGGTGAAGAGGTATATCAGTAAGTATACCGTTAACCCCGCGATAGCGCAGGGAATGGGTCATCTGGTGGGAAGTGTGGAGGTGGGCAAGGTGGCGGATCTTGTGCTTTGGACGCCGAGGAACTTTGGGGTTAAGCCGAGTTTGGTGGTTAAGAGTGGGTTTTGCTCGTATGCTCAGATGGTATGTTGTCTCTCCCTTTTCCTCCCCTCAATATCATCTCCTCTGTTATCAAGTAGATATCTAACACAACCCAGGGCGACCCCAACGCCTCGATCCCCACCGTCGAACCCATCATCATGCGCCCCATGTTCGCGCCCCTCGTTCCTTCCTCCAGCATTACGTTCGTCTCGCAAGCGTCTATTGCGTCTGGCGTCGTCAAGTCTTATGGCTTGCGCAAGCGCGTCGAGGCTGTGAAGAATTGTAGGAATATCGGTAAGAGGGATATGAAATACAATGAGACGAAGCCGAAGATGAAGGTCGATCCTGAGAGGTATACGGTCGAGGCGGATGGTATGGTTTGTGAGGCTGAGCCTGCGGAGACGCTGCCGTTGACGCAGAGGTATTTTGTTTATTAGGGAAAGAAATTGAAGATTTAGTTCTGATGTTTAGTAAGGTTGTTCTGCTGTGTAAGTATCTGTCTCCTAACAGTCAACGTGATGTCAGATCGGTTCTCAGAGATAGAGTTTGTGCTTCGATTTTCATGCGAGCTACTGACTATTCATACAGCAAGCAAGACCAAGTCTTAGCCCTAATAGACTAACAAGTACAACAATACGCTTGAACGCTCAGAAAACAAACGCTAAAAGACTAGCCCATAGTCCTCCAGAAAGCATCGTCAAACTAAGAATACGGTCAATCTCCCCTCATACACACCACGACCTCCTCCTGATCGTCGCCAGCTCGCAAGTCAGCCTTCTCTTTCTTGGTCATCGGACTTCTCTCCCGACTGCCCCCCAAAGTACTCTGCCTCTTCCGCTTGATCGTTGGCTCAAATTCGTGAGCGTTTGGGTTCAGCATGCCCGAGCCGCTGAGATCAGAGTGTGCTGCGACACCACCGAGTGCTTGTGCAAGTTCAGGTCCCATACCTGTAGTGTCGATGTGGTGCTCGAAGCTACCTAGTTCCTCGCCGAGGGCGCTGTATAGCTGTCTCTCTAGACGGCCAGTACTGTCTATACTTGACAGTGACACTCCAGTCTTGTGGCAAGGCTTGAATGGAGACAGCTTATTGCTCTCGAAGGAAGCATTGGTGTTTAGGTGGGGCTCGATGGCATCCACATCGATGATCTCTACTACATCAGGGATATTCTTCTGGTTGTTGTGCGAGGATTCGTCTTTGTCCTCAAATATGGGTATATGCGCGTTCCGAGGCCCTGAGTTCAATGATGGTAGCAGGCTCTGATCATGGCGCATTGCTTGATCAGACAATCTCGGTGAGTCAGATGCCATGCCTTCCTTCCGACTCCTAATGTTCACAGCGGAAGGACCGTGAGCTGACCCAAACTTAGCAGGCTCGATGGTAGGGGGTGGCGCTTCGCTCCGACTGAATCTATACATACTTGAACGTGCCGGAGATGGGTCTCTCATGGAGATATCTGAGGTATGGGTTGAAAGCCTTTGCGCGAAGGGGTTCGGCGTCGGAACACGGTTCGCGTTTGGAAACGCAGTAGGCAATCGCGATTGCGAAGGCGGGCGATTCTCTTTGTTGCTTGGGAAAGAAGGGTGATTCATCGTAGGCTGTTTGTCATTCATCGCATCGTGGAACCGCTGATTACTTGGTGACTGCTTATTCGATGCGTTCCGTAGGGCATTGTTGAAGTCCGAGTATGATGGCTTGCGCGCCATGGCCGCCGACGACGGGCGGTTGATAGGTGGGTTGATGTCTGACTTTGGGGGACAGTAGTTGTAAGCAGTCGGTAGACGACCAGTATTCTCATGGCGTTGGTTGCCCGATCCATGCGATAGCTCACGATTCTGCTTTGGTGGACTCATAGCTTGGATGATCTGCCCTAGCTGGTCATCTCGAAGGGTGACAACGAGCTGTTTCTCTTTGCCCTTCCTTGGCGGATGATCTTCCCACTCTGTACTCATGCTTTGATCGTATTGAGACCTGTCAGGCATCCATGGTTGACTTTTGCGTGACAGATGTGAAGAAGCATACATGTAGTCAGGCATGGCCATATCGCTGGTCGAGCCCGACGTCCTTCTTGTTGACCATGTATCCATGCTAACGTCGTCGGCAGAATCTAGAAAGGAGTTGAGATTGTCATCCCATATGCCTGGGCGACCGTTGTTTCTGAAACCTGGCAGTGGCTTCGCAAATTGTGAGATGGGGGGCAGATGCGCATTAGAGCGTCGATTGGGTAAGGGAATCTGCGATCTAGCAAAGGCGGATGCCGATGCTTGCGAGATTGGCGACTGCATGTTGATGTCGCCTGGGAAGGGCCGGGCCTTCGGTGTCCGAGAGTTTGTCGGGGATATTTGTGACAGATGCGTGGCTCGCTCGAGCGCATTGGGAAGGTATAGAGGGTTTCGGATGGGCCATGAGATACCTGCCTGCTCTAAGACATCTGTGCCTAATTAGCGATACATATATGAGGGAGATGAGGTCCTTCAGCATACCTTTTGGGGCATGCTGGAACGAGAAGCAAACAATGTCGTTGGTCGCTCCGAGGTCTACCTCTCCAAGACTGGCCGTCTTCGTGATCAACTGTTCCGACAACATTATCTTGATTCGTCCTTGAGGGTCGTGAGCATTCCATGAATTCTGCATGAGGGTCCGTTGATGAAAGGGCGGGAACTCGAGGCATTGTTTCCGTTGACTCGAAGGATACTCGTTGATGGTGAGTGATCTCTTCTCTTGCGCTACACATCGTCAGTCCAATAGTGATGTAGCATTAACTCGCGTGTGATATACCAATCTCCTGGGGCCATTTCGACGTTATGTCGAAGAAGCCACGACTATGCTCATCAGCATCGTTGTCCCATATCCATAAGCCATGGCGTGTGGCTCACAAGACTCTAGCCCCATCGACGATAACCTGGACTGTGTATACAACCTTCTGGTTCGCCTTTCGTCGGGACTCGATCAATGCCGAGGCCTTCGATGCGGTGGCCCATGAGTGTACGGAAATACGGAACGGTGTAGACGGCGGCAGAGTGCTGATGTAAGAGGTCAACGTGGGCAGCTGCCGGCCATCTACATACTATTAGTACTGATGCTCAAGTAAACGAAGTCTGCTAGAGGGTGAGGGAGAGCAGGGTACTCACACTCCTCGGGTGAGACATAGCAGGCGGTCTTGAACTCCTGTATGGGTACGTGGGAGTCCTTTGGGAAGAGGATCACGTCCCAGTCGTCGTAGCGCATGGCAGGCGTGCGATTGCTGCTGTTCGGGTCCAAAAGAGCAACAAGCAATTGGCAGTTGTGCCGGTTGTGTGATTGTGGAGAGGAGGAAGAAGTCCATTGTTTATGAGATCCGAGGGCTGAGTGACGGAGGGTACGCCCGAGGTCCAGCAATGAGGGAGGCACGATTGTCACAGCGCGACGTCATGGCGCGATGCAACTCACATCTTCGAGCGTTCGTGCAAATGCGATGAAGTGTAAATTGTATAAAATGGGCATGACTAGATCAAAACGCATGTTGCCGCATGCTCATGTAGCATCTCTCAGAAGTCCTTCTACTGAAAACTCACTAACTGTCAGTCTGTGATGTACCCTCCATGGACCTTTGCAGCGACCTTGTACTAGAACCCACCAACCATCTGTCTGCGACGTTTCTTTCGATGAACATCTCCCAGAATACCCACAGCGCACGCAGCAACTCAACGCAAAACCTCAAAAGTAGCGCAATCTTCTAGCAAAGACGCGAACCTCCCGCCACGATAGAAATGAAACAGACTCTTGACGCCTTCTCTTGCTGCATGGGTATACCATATAATTCTTGTTCGCCAGACGCCTCGCTAAAGCATTATGCCTTCATTCCCCAGTTAAAGAATATAGCCACGTCGTGATAATGAAGTTTCATGCCCCAAGAACTCCTTGCTAAAGCGGCAAAACAGTATCTGATATGCGTATAACCAATGCGAGAGCGTACGATGCGCAGTTACTGCGGTGGAGGGAATTGCTGCGAGAAGGCACCGCCAAAGTCGGGCGAGCCGAAGCCGGGGCTGTTGGGGCCGTTGGGCTGGGTGGGTGTGAAGCGGTAGTTGTTGAACGTGGGAGTGCCGTTCTGGCCGGCAGGATTGGCCGAAGGGGCGTTCTGGCTGCCGGGTCGCTGGCCACCGAGGCTTGCGTTCATCGACGGCGGGTAAGGGGAAGGCTGGCCAGCCTGGACGGGAAAGTTGCTACACAGTGACGTTAGCAAGATGTCCAAGGAGGGCATTGAGGTAGCAGACTCTGCGCGTGCCGATAGAACCAACAACAAACTAACAAAGGAAAGACTAGAAGGCACTTGGAACAGAACGTTAGACGAATCAACCAAGCCAGCAAGCAAGCACGCAACCAAACACGCAGAAATAGAAGAATCGTGTGATTGGAAATGATGGCCAATCCTGCAAGGAGCAGCGCACAATCGTGAAGAAAAGGCAAGTCGAGAGAAAGCAGCATCCGGCCCATGCATGACTAGCTACATCCCTATGCTCCCAGAAAGATGAGTGGCACGCTTAGAAAGAAAGCCCGAATGGGAGAATAGATGGCCTGTTATACAAAGACTCCCTTCTATGGCCCTCCAGCAAGATGAGTGTCGTGAGAAGAAGTCGAGAACTTTTGGAGAACCGCCCGTTATAGAACTAAAGACCAAATCGCTCGAAATTCGTCATGCCGAGTCATGAAAGGGATCGTTGCAGTAAGCCAACGGGATGAACCATGACAGAAGCGCCGTGCAAGCAATACAGAGGGAAAGAATGCGCTTACTACAGTCGAGTTAGCATCAGACACAAAACCGCAACATGTCTTGTTGACTTACCTTCATCATCGGGCCGTAGCCACCGCCACCGCCGTAGGGGTGTTGCGGGGGCATACCCATGCCTGGGCCGAAGGGAACTGGTGGAGGTGGTGCAGGGCGGTAAGGGGTGCCGGCTGGACCGGAGTTGTTCTGGGACCTACCCCAACTAAGACGGACGCGAGAGTTACCGATGGGGTAGCCTTGCATCTGGTTGATGGCCATCTCGGCAGCGTGGCGCTGAACGAACTGGACGAAGCCGCAACCCTTGCCTGGGGGAATCTTGACGTATGTAATCTCGCCGAAGCCCTGGAAGAAGGAACGAAGCTCGTCCTCGGTGACGTAACCGGAAAGACCGCCGACGAAGACGGTAGTGTTGTTAGGGTCCGTGAACTGGTTCATCGGCTGGGGAGCACCGTAGTAGCCACCCATGGGAGGAGCGCCCATCGAGTACATGCCCATACCGGGGCCGCCGCCGCCTTGGGGCATGCCGCCCATTCCGCCGGGACCTCCGGGACCACCGCTCTTGTTCTTGGGTGTAGCGGTGGAAATACGCATGGGGCGGTTGCCGCAGTAGACGCCTTGCATCTCAGTGAGGGCCTTTTGCTGGTCCTCCTCGCTAGCGAACCGGACAAAACCGTAGCCGCGCGACATACCACTGATAGGGTCGGACATGATCTTGGCGGACTTGGTGGACTGGTACTTGTTCTGGAAGAGTTGTACGAGGACGAACTCGGTGACCTCGGGGCCCAAGTCTCCAACGAAGATGCTGAATTCGGGACCACGCTCATCGCGGCTGTTCGAGTCATTAGTGATCACTGTCGTATGTGGATAGCCGGGTGAGACTTGCCTCCTGTCAGCAAGACCACCGCCAGAAGCCCAGTTCAGCTTGAACGGGCGGTTGGAGTTGGGGATCAGTTGGCCGTTGAGGCTAAGGGCCTTGGACGCAGCATCAGGGCTCGCGAAGTCGACGAAGCAATATCCAGCATTGCTGCTATGCGGTAGTTAGCCTGGAGACTTTTTCCTGTGTGGACTCCGTGCTTACCCGGAGAACTTGTCGCGGATCATCTTGACGTTGACAGTCTCGCCCATGTTGTACCAGATGCTGCGGACGAAGTTCTCGTCGATCCAGGGCTCGAGTTCACCCATCCTGCGTTGTGTTAGCATCGATGTGCCCCACCTAGTGAAGGGCCACCCGAGCGCGCAAATCGCCATCTGAGATGCGCGATTCGCAACTCGGGCGCGTCCGCAGACTCACCAGAGAGTCGTCTTGCCCGCACCCTGGCCTTGGCCGTCACCACCAGCGCTGCCTGGCGGGCCCATGTTGCCCTGGGGCGGGAAGCCGTTGCCGGAAGCGTCCATGGGCTGACCCATGTCGCCGGGCTGCGGGGTCTGGTTGTTCATGTCGCCCTGGGGCTGGCCCTGGAATTGGTCGCCGTAGCTGTTGTTGAAAGACATGACTGATAGATCAAGCGGGGTAGTCGATTGAGCTAACGGAGGTGGGGAGTAAGGGTATGAGCTCTAATTATGATAGAGAACCGTAGCGTCGTTTATATAGTCTGCGCAGAAAAAGCAATTGTTAGTTCTGGTGAGTGTGCGCGCAGGAGGTCAGGCAGCGGGAGCAGGGTGAAGGAGCTGGAAGGGTGGCAGGCTGCACTTACCGATTAGATCCGGGTCCTTCTATCACTGCAGTCGCGGAGGCAGTAGAGAGTACAGGCCAAGGAACACGGCTAGGAGATAGTCGGGAAAAGCGGCGACAGTAACTCCAGGTCGCGCACGAAGGAGTGGGTGTGGGTGAGGGAGAGCGAAGGAGTGACCGTGAGGAAGCTCGAACGAAATCTGAGTGGGCGGGTCAGTACCGTAGTTTTCATGTCAGGCATCACATGCGGCGGGCGCACGAGGCCCATGTCACGACAGGTGCTCGCAACACCCACGGCAGTGAGAGCGCGTCGGGATGCGCGACGCTGGCTCAGGCTGGTGGCAGAGCTGCTGCAGGCCGCGCGACCAAGTCCGTGCAGGCGACGACGTCAGTAGGCGATGGACGCACATCGCGTAGCAGACGGGCGGTGGCCGAATTGATTGTGCAGTCCGCAGCTCCCATGCCCCGGTGCACGAAATTGTGCAGTGGGCGGCCCGCCAAGACGAGATGAAAATTGCTCATGAGATATACATACCGAAAAATCTCAAGGACACCGGCGAACTGGAGAAGCAGATGAGATCCAAACACCACAAACGCGAGAAATCGGAGAGGAAAGACGATCGACGACGGCGAGTGTTGGGCAGTGTGGGAGGAAGGTCGGTCGGTGGGCGGGGTCGGTAGAAGAGCGAAGAACTGCAGATGATGTACGGCGCCGAGAATCCGCTAGGATTTACTTCGCTTGGTTTTGGTAGCGATGACTGCGCGAACCTGGGGACGCGGATGGCGTAGACCAGTGCAGGTTTAAGCTTTCGATCGATACAAGGATTGCGCGACCCAAGGATGAAGCGGCTCCATTGCGAGTGGCCCATCGCATCTCGCTACAGAGGCTCAACACGGCTGCCACGCTGGCATCGACCAGATGAAGAACGGTGCCGGCTGCGTGCGATCTGCTCTGCGTTATTAATAGGCGACCCACCCCTGGCTGCGTAGATGACTTGCAGCCAGAAGTCGTCACCGCGCTTTCGCAATGTGCGGGGCGGTGCCTCACCGAGAGCCTCTGCAGTCTGCAGCCTTTCCAATCCATATCTCACCCATGCTCGCGCCGCATCGCTGGACTCTGTACTCAAGCCGCGCAGTTTTGCGCCGGTCGAATCACACACCTGTACCGCCATGGGCCCCTCCATCCTCTCTCAGTGGTCCCACCGCCTGCAGCTAGACGGCCGGCCGCTGAGGCCTTTATCCAACCAGCTCGACAGACACATATCACGACCGTTGTGCGCTTGTGGAGCTGTGAAGGCCTCCATTAGACATCGCCGTGAACACGTACACCAGACTGGAGAACATCAAATAATGTCTTCTATCATTCGTAGTGGTATCTTAGTAAGCAGATTCCTATCCTATCCTACATCGCCTGGCCAGGGACCTTCTCTGGGATGCCAGCAGCAGCCTTGGCCTCGCCCAGCTGTTCACGGCCCTCGGCGAACACCTTGTCGAAGTCGTACTCGAACCATCTGATATCCGGGTTCAGTCCAGCAAACTTCCACTCGCCGTCGATCTTCTTGTACCAGTGCGTGTTGAAGCTGTGGGCATGGCCCTTGACGGCAACCTTGGTGCGGGACTCATCGGTGTACCTCTGATGGGGCACACGGAGCTGGTGGTACCCGGTAATCTCGTCCTCTGCAGTCTTCTCCCACCGCGTGCCGCCGATGAAGTGCTGTGTCTTGAGGAGAGGGTTGCCTAGTACGGCGGGGTCCGAGGCCATGGCGACGAACTCGTCTGCAGGCATGGCTTCCCAGATTTTGTCGAGGAAGGATCGGTAGTCGATCTTCAATGTGGGGGCGATGCATTTGCTCAGACGGTTCCAGTCCTGCGATGTGTAAGTGATTGTCGCTGAGCAGCGGTGCATATCGACCGACCTTGCTATCGTAGCTGTCTGCCCACTCATAGCACGCCGACTGGCAACCCATAACGTCTGAGCTTGTTAGTCACGCTCGCAAGAGACCGTAGAGAGGACTAACCATCGAACGTCGGCTTCAATTCGTTCTTCTCAAACATGATGACTTTTGTTTCTGGTAGTTCTGGTAGGCGAAAGTGTTACTGTTATGGTATGGTATTGCAATTATATCTCGTCCCATCGTTCCCTTCGTCTTTATATCTGTCGTGCTCCATATTCCAGCACTTCTATTTGCGTCCCCTTCTGCGACGTTTGGCTTCGGGTCCCCGCCCAACGGGGTTCCGCCATCCGCATACTCGAGACTGCCGGTGCGGTGCCAGCGGTCGCGAAACGGGGCCGAGTACATTTCTGGACTCGGAGGTCCCTATGTTTCGACACTGCCGACATGTTTCTACACTAGGATAGTGGAGTTGCGTCGAAGATGTGCTGCAGGGCAGCTGCTGCCGCGACCCCTCGCGGGAGAGAGAAGGCGCACGGGCCGCCGAAACACCAAACCTTCCGATGGTGCGCCGTGGCCTCAAACTTCCTTCATCTCCAGATTTAGCGGTCGCGACCGATCGCGCGTCGACCTAGTTTTATCGAAAGAACAAGAGTCAGCGCGTTTAGTTCAGGCTTGCTGATACTGCGGTGACGCACCAGACAGGACTCCAGGCGAACAACATCAGAGCTATCGCAATCATACCGTCTACCAGAGTACCATCTTGATAACCAGCTAGAACCAGGACTACATCGTAGTCTAGTCAAAGGCACACTCTCACGCCAACCTAGCTTGGAGCCTACGTTAACGTTGAGTTACCTACTTTGCAAGTTTTTTCCTTAATGTAGTCTGCAGACTTATTTACTTTTTTTCTTGTACAGGGTGGCTGTCTTAATGTAGTCCGCAGGCCTGTTCAGTTTTTTTCTTGTATGGGGTGCTCTATTCATCCAGGCTTGATGAGTCTCGCTGCTGAACGTTAGAAACATCGCTTCGCCTAAATTGCCTACTTCGCCAACCATGTCTCGCGAACAGACCAGGTTGACCCCCAAAGTTTGCGATCATTCAACGACCTCCAATCCTGCTTGGAAGATCATCATGAATAGATCACCCAGACGCCGTTCAGAGCGGCTGCTGATTCTATCGTCGCGCTTAAGAGATATATCTGGCTATGGGTAGAGTTGTTTGCGCGCGGCATCACTCAGACCCCAGCAATGCAGTGTGATCACAGAAAGCGAGCCAATCGTCTACCCAGCGCTTCTGCATCTGTACGGAGCACTCAACGCGATCCTACAATGATGTTGAGAATAAATTGTTGCAGCGCGCTCTCTCTGAGAGCATACAACGAGCTTCGCGCAAACTTGCCTCATCTCTCTTAATTCTTCGTACCGATCGTGCTCGTGGCAGTTTTGTTTCCCTTACCTATCGCTTCCACGCCAACCGAGGAAAACACTCAACAGCCTGGAGCCTACATTGGCGCTGGGTCACCGCCTTTGCAAGGTTTTGGCTTAACGTAGCCTGCAGACCTGTTCAGCTTTTGTCTTGTATGAGGGTTTGGGCTTAACGTAGCCTGCAGACCTGTTCAGCTTCTGTCTTGTATGAGGTGCTTCACTTGCCTCACGACCACTGTCCAGTGGAGTTCCGGAATATCCAGCCAAACTCGCATCATCCCAACAGACTCGGGATGACAGAGATACTCAGGTGGGCACCGCCATCCTGGTGGGCCGGGGATGGCAATTCGAAGCCTTTGCCTGCGAAAGGCATGCGTATCTTTGCGTCAAGCCAGTTTGGTGGTGATCGCGTCAAACGAGTCAATTCCGCTTACGCAAAAGCAAAGAAATGCAAAGTATGCTACAACAATGAGTGGCTTACCATGTCGGGAGTCACGGTTGGCGTTCTGATGATGTCTGCTGACAAGGGATGTGCTGGTTGCTTGACACTATGCGGGATTGTACACAAATGTGCCTTTGTCTCCAAAGGCTCAAGCCGACCGTTCGAGCTCGGCTTGGATCAAAGGATTTCATGCAGAGTGGAACAGTCACGACTTGTCTTGGAATGCTACCCAGATGCGTCATGGGACGTGTTTGATCCACAAGGTAAGTCAGCCACGGCTGTGATATTCATCATAAACTAACGTTTCCAGGTCGCGACAATCCGTGGCGAATACCACGTCTTTCTCACGAAGCCGTTTCAGACTCCGGTTCTGATGAAGCTATTCAACGAGTATCCTCTTGGTTACGAGAGTGCGATCACAAACATGAGTTGTGTAAGGGTGCTAAATCCAGCCTGCCAACTCGCGTCGTTCTGATCCAGGACCCAAAGAACATCAAGCTGTACGAGACCCACGGCGAAGACAAGCCCTATGTTTGTCTCAGTCACTGCTGGGGGAAGGGTACAATTAGAAAGACGACGACGGCCACCTTGACCGAACACAAGCGAAGAATCCCTTCGGAGAAACTTCCTCAGACATTCCAGGATGCTATCTCTTTCGCCTATCGGTTGGGATACAAGTATCTGTGGATCGACAGTCTCTGCATCATCCAAGACAGCCGCGAGGACTGGCAAAGGGAAGGCAGCAGAATGGCACAGATATACTCCGGTGCCGATTTTACCGTCGCTGCCACCGACGCCAATGTCCCATCGCAAGGATGTTTCCGCAAGCATCCAGAACGTCCTATCAGCAAGTTTTCGTACCCGGACATGAACGGCTCGATGTTGGACATTTGCGTCCGATCCAGCATAAACCATTATGCTTGGAGATATGGCGAATATCCATTACTGAAACGTGGCTGGACGCTACAAGAATGTCTACTTTCCCGACGCCTGGTGCACTTCACAGCCGAAGAGATGTTTTGGGCGTGTAGGACAGAGAACAAATGCGAGTGCTCGTTCTGGTGGGACTTGGGAAAAGTGCCTTTCGGAAATTTTCGCAGCCCCAAATATCTCAACACTATACGTCACTCTAAGCCGGAGGAGTGCACGGCTCTGTGGCATGGTATTGTCACCGAATACACTAATTCGAGCTTGACGTACGAAACGGACTGCTTCCCAGCTTTGCAAGGAGTCAGCAAAGAGATGTATACTGTGAAGAGGTCGGCATACATGGCCGGATTATGGGAGAGCAGTATCATGGACGATCTACTGTGGTATTCTGACCACAAGGACAAATCATCTAAACCAACGGCATGGCGCGCACCGTCATGGTCATGGGGATCTGTCATTGGGCGAGTCGTGTGGCCAAAGTGGCTCTCGCAGACCATACCTTTATCGACTTACATTGGGAAAGAGCTCACCCCTGCAAGAGGAGGAGACGGGTACGGGGAAATATTATCCGCAAAGATTACCCTGCGAGGTCGCTGTTTGCTCCCGAACGTGGAAGGAACGTACCAGCCCTTTGCTGCACCAGACGAAGCCATCAAATACCCCGATCATCGCGCTTGGAGGAAGTGTCCTCGCAAAATCTACCTCGATCGTCCACCGGAATTGGAACGTCCTGATAGCAAGAGGGTCGTCATGTCTACCGGGCAGGTGAAGACGCTGCTCATAAGCGTGTACAAGATGCAAACACAGGAACACCTCTATGCCATGTTGGTTCTGCAACAGGTGAACAGGACAGCGAACACCTACACGCGGATTGCATATATGGAACTCGAGACACGTAAGGGTTGCGATATGTCCAGTCTTCCGTTGGGTAACGAGGAAATTCTGCACATCATCTAGTTGGACAGCGACGCGTGCAATACGACATTGTGGGGAAACTTGCAGTCTCAACTTCCAGAAAGGCTAGCTGGTCTGTCCTAACGCGGAGTGAGATTTGCGCATATGCCATAGGCACCGGAATGGCAGGGTCATGTATGGAGTAGTTCGCAAAGAAATCAGAGTAGAGCTACCTCAAGTCTACGATATGTGGTTTAAGATCGTTCGAGTATTGCTTGCCGTACGCGTTTAGGGCGGCTTATGAATATAGTTTGCCTCTGTTCTATATACACAAAAAAAGGGTATATATTTATTCTTTGTTCAGATTTAAAGTACAGGGTGAAGTACTTATTACAGCTCTACTATCGAAGTAAAACTGCATAGCAACATGTCTGCGAAGACGATAGCTAAGGACTCTGGAAAAAAACGTGGTTTAATAGCTGAGTGGCTATGCACAAAGCACAAATTGAGCAGGATGACGTATCGTTCATGAGGTGCGAAGTATTCAATTGAAAAACGATGTAAAGGAAATAGGGTGGTATCAGTATCATGCGAATCCTCAAACGCCAGAAACAAGTGCAGAATAATAACAAGACAGGCCAGGCTGAACATCGACCGCCCCTCTCCATGCTCCTTTGGTATCGCCCCAATTCTCCAAGCCAGCCTCAGGCTTCGACCAAAAACGCCACACCACACACCGCTCAACCCCGCGTATGCTCATGCTCTCTGCCTTCCTCTCAGCTACTTATACTGCGGCACTCCCTGCGGCGGCGGTCCATACCCCGGCGGCCCACCACCAGGAGGTCCGCCATGTCCACCATACGCATTCATCGGCATAGCACCGCCCTGGACCTTTGTTCCACCGCCAAACTGCTGCAACTCGGGTTCGCGGCGATACGCGATATCTTGCCAGAAGTGGCAGACGTGGCACCCAACTTCCTTGTACGGCTTGAAGCTAAACGGGATGACGGGGATAAAGCAGAATGTGAACCATTCCCAGCGCTTCATCACTTTGCCGGTTTGGTTGCCACAGTTTTGGCATTGGAGTGTGATGTGTTCGGCGCCTTTGAGGGCGGATGTGAAGGCTAGAGAAGGTGTTAGTGAGAGGACTTAAAGTAATCGGGGTGTGGTGTGGGAAAGGGAGGAGTGAGGCGTATGTTGGCACGGAAGTAGGGTGGTTCATGGGAAGACGTACTGTGTGTTCCGCAAGTAAAGAAGAAGAACATGATCGCAGGTTATATGCGCGTGTAGCGCAGTACTCGTTGTGATACGTGTATTTCCCTATTCGGGGGCGGGTATCTCGTCGCGGTTGGGCCGGTGGAACGATGCGCGTGCGACAAGTGGTACGGAAGTTACGCGTTCGGTCCTTGGGTGTTGTTTGTGTATGCTACTCGTGTGCGATGGCGCGTGATAATGAGGTTATGTAGTGTTGCGAAGTTTATCTGGAAGGGTGTGGAGTTAAGTGGAATGTGTCGCGATGGGAGGCGCGGGTTTCTGGTCGCTGGTGGAAGACCATTGGCGCCGAGGAAGCTGCGTCATCATCGATGCGTCTCAGCCACACCTGGCGCTTGGCTTGGGGATCCATGGGGCTAGCGGCATTCCCCGCGGCGCTTGTCACATGTATCTCCACGTGCCTAGGTACGTACTTCAGACGTGTCGATGCTTTGGTAGATTGATCATTGCATTGCGCAAGATGCAGAGTGCAAGAGCGGAAGTGTTGGCATGTGGTTGAAGTGGATGTGGCGGAGGACTTGATCGACGGCTAGCTCTTACCTGACGGAGACTGCTGCGCCCGCATCGCAATTCGCAGTGGACGTCAGTCACCTGATCACAATCGCGAGGCAAATCACAGATAGCTGATGAGGTTTGAGCATCAACTCTTCATTATGGTATCGAGCGGTAGCCTCCAGAGCCACTCTTGTCGGAAAGAGACTCGTGACAGTCATTAAGAGTAGGATAGTACAAGCCCTTTATTATCCTTCGCATGTCAACACCGATCAATCGCAGAGCCCATAGACCTCCGTTGGAGGTTCCCATCCATATTACGAGAGTGAGGCAGCGTCTCTCAATATGAGAAGAGAGCTAATGCTGGCTCCACAGAAAAGACCTGAGTAGAGAGGATGGATGAGACTCTCAGAGGTCACGGGCGCCTTGGTCCAGTCGCATTCGTCTACTGAGTCTTGAAGAGCAAGATAGCACAGTGGCCGAGGTAGAAGTAGATGAAATGCTTCGTTTCTGTAATTCAGTCAGATATCATTGAACGAATGTTTCTAATAGAAAGGTTCAGCTTACCATGCGTGACAAAGCTTCCAAAGTTGCGGCCAACGATGCAGTGCCATGTGGCGCCCTTCCGGCTGTCGAACTGTAGAGCAATTAGCGCGCGCTTCCTGTAGCTCTTGGAGGCCTGATCATACCTCTTTCTTGATGTACTGGGCAATGTCCTACAGGTGGAGGGTCAGTACGGTCCTAGGATGGCCTCGGCCTGAGCGGATATCGAAGACCTACCTTCTCGATAGTGAACTGCTCCATAGCCGTCTGTGCTACAAAATGTCAGCGTTCCGTCAGCCGCATGTTGGAAGCAGTTGACTTACCGACTTCAATGGCCTCTTGTTGCATCTCGTCGCTCTGTCACACATGTCAATATGAATCCGGAAGCAGCAGCCTAGCTATCCCGTACCATGTCTGCGGACTTGATTTGAGCTGCATACTGCATTAGCTTGTACTTTGGCAGATGTGTTGACAGGAACAAGGGGTCTTACCATCCTGCTTGTGGGCATCTGACTTGTCGCTGGCCATGGTGCTGATCTGTACGTGTATCAAAGGTTGGGTGATTTGGTGTAGCTTTCTTCAAAGTAGGCGAGCTCTTATAATGCGCGTGGTTGAGTGAGGCTATGTCCAGGACCTTGTCATGATGTTTGAGCAAGCGCTCGCGGCGGTCTGCGCTCGGGCCTTTCCCTGTGAGCCTAATGCGCGCTAGTGGACTCCCGGCCCATGCGTCGTTCACTTTTTTCTTCAGAATGCGACACTGACATCCACTGCTCCTTCCACGACACCACAACCCGGGCAGCCAACGTTCTTGCAGCATGGAGTCGTCGCGCATCTTCGTGAGGAATTTGCCCTCTCACTTCACCGAAGATGACGTGCGGAAACACTTTGCCAAATTTCCCATCACTGACGTAAAGTTCTTCAACCACCGACGCATCGGCTATGTTGGCTACAAGACGCCCGAAGATGCTGCAAAGGCTGTCAAGTACTTCAATAAGACCTTCATCAAGCTCACCAAGATCTACGCAGAAATTGCGCGACCTGTATGTACTTTGCGACGACGATGGCGACAAGCGGGGCTAACAGGCGCAGATCGCCGACAAGGAACTGCCAAAGTCACGGCGGCAGCAGAAGCTCGAGAAGAGCGCCCCAGTAAGCGACGAGTACCGACCGCAACGACAAGAGAACGACCTCAAGCGGAAACGAGAGGAAGCCGAGCAGGACCCGAAGCTGAAGGAGTTCCTGGAGGTCTATCAGCCGCCGTCCAAGACTAGCATCTGGGCCAATGGCGATACGCAGCTCAACGAGGCACCTGTCGCAACCGCTGAGGAGGTTGTGCCGGAGATTGCTGTACCAGAAGACGAGAGCGACGATGAATATCAAGTCATCTCGAAGAAGCCAAAGATTGCTGATGAGCCTGCGACCGGGCCAATCCCAGCAGCCCCACAGCCAACGCCCGCTGAACCAAGCGCAGCAGCCATTCAACCAGAAGCTGTAGAAGGTGGTGACGCGATGGAGGACGTACAAGTAGCGCCAGCCGTCGAACAAGGACCTGTCACGGATGAGGACTGGCTGCGGTCGAGAACAAACAGGGTTTTGGAGCTCGTGGAAGATGATGAAATGCCATCAGCTAGCATGGCTCCTGTCACTGTAGCATCGAAACCAGCCGCCCAACCACGCGCACCCGCTGAGCCTTCGCCGGCCGTTGCCGACGCACAGCCAGAGCCACAACCCCCGGCGGAAGAGCAGATCGATACCGCTGCCGCGCCTGACGAGGAGGACAAGATCCGCGAGACCGGTCGACTATACCTCAGAAATCTGCACTACGAGGTGACAGAGGATGAGATTAAAGAACAGTTCTCCAAACACGGAGCTCTAGAGGAAGTAAGTCATCATACATTTCTTTCTTCACCCGCCCATGCAATGATGAACATCAAGATAGGGACAACTGATGCTTCGGCACCTGAGGTTACCTTGGAAAGTATTTTAGTAGATGTCTTTCTTATCTGATAGCGGCAACCACTCCTTGATTACTCACGTACACTTGTACGAACAGTTGCTGACTACGACAGGTGCATGTGCCGTTGAAGAAGGCAGACGGAAAGGGTAAAGGCTTCGCCTTTGTCCAATTCCAGAACCCGAACGATGCAGTGGAAGCTTACCTTGACAACGACAACACCATCTTCCAGGGTCGCCTCCTTCACATCATCTCTGCGAAAGCGAAGAAAGATACCAAGCTCGACGACTACGAGATCTCCAAGCTGCCTCTCAAAAAGCAGAAGGAGATCAGAAGGAAACAACAGGCGGTCAAGGCCACTTTCAACTGGAACTCGCTCTACCTCAATGCCGATGCAGTTATGTCCACCATCGCAAGTCGCATGGGCATCAGCAAGGGTGAGCTGCTCGACCCCACTTCGTCAGACGCTGCAGTCAGGCAAGCGCATGCCGAAACACACATCATCCAAGAGACCAAGTCGTACTTTGCGCAGCATGGCGTGGACCTGGAGGCCTTCCAACGTAGCGCTAAAGGTGATCTTGCTATCCTCGTCAAGAACGTACCCCACACTGTGACGGCCGATGAGCTTCGGAAACTGTTTGAGGAACACGGCAAGGTGACCAAGTTCCTGATGCCACCGACAGGTATGACAGCCATTGTCGAGTTCTCAAACGTCGCCGAGGCAAAGACTGCCTTCATGTCGCTGTCGTATCGGAAGATGAAGGACTCAATTCTGTACCTCGAGAAGGCCCCCAAGGACCTATTCAAGGAAGGCGTCGCAACCAACTTCGTACAAACAACGCCATCCGCCCAGCCTTTGCAGTCCTCACAGCCAGGCGTGAAGCTTTCTGCAACTGACCTGCTCGTTGACGACCCTGAGCCCGAGGCAACAAACACCGCCACTTTGTACGTGCGCAACTTGAACTTCTCCACCACAACTGAGCGTCTCACGGAGGCGTTCAAACCTCTGGCAGGTTTCCGGAGTGCCACTGTCAAGACCAAGACCGACCCCAAGCGAGGCGTGCTGTCCATGGGCTTTGGTTTCGTCGAATTCAACAGTCCAGAGACTGCCACTGCAGCTTTGCGAGCCATGGATGGACACGATCTCGAAGGGCACAAGCTTCTCATTAAAGCTTCCCACAAGGGTGCCGATGCTGCCGAAGAACGCCGCAACGAGGATGCAGCAAAGAAGGCGGCCAGCACGAAGATTCTCATCAAGAACTTGCCGTTCGAAGCTAGCAAAAAGGACGTTCGTGCTCTGTTCACTCCTTACGGTCAGCTTCGATCTGTACGAGTACCCAAGAAGTTCGACGCTTCCTCACGTGGTTTCGGTTTCGCAGAGTTCACCACCAAACGCGATGCTGTCAACGCCATGAACGCATTGAAGAACACACATTTGTTGGGCCGTCGTCTGGTCCTTGCATTTGCTGAGACGGAGTCTGATGACCCAGAGAAGGAGCTGGAGAAGATGCAACAGAAGGTGGGAGCACAGGCCAACAAGGTCGCCTTGCAACGCCTTACAGAAGGTGGTCGCAAGAAGTTTAACGTTGCAGGCACCGATGATCTAGACGACTGAGCGCAAAAGTGCTTCGATAGGAGTTGCGCGCGCGACACCGTCAGACCTTGACGCCATCCCTTGCTCCCCGGCTACACAAGCTAGGCCGCCCTTTGCCGCGGTCCGTAGAAAGTAGTAGGGGTGCTTTGACCTGCTGCACGACGCTATATCTAGAACACCGTTTTCTAAGCTTCGACAGGGTATATCGCCAGTGGATTGCATCAATGGGCATGGCCACCACACGGCGTTTCAGACTACTCCAAAGGGAGTATAGAAGCCATGAACGAGACGTTTGTCGATCATGCAGACTTGACGTAGTTTGTTGTTTGCGGACACTGACCTCTATCCTTGCTTTGAGCAGTCCGTGATGGCTCTGTTCGCCTATGGCCAATCAGGTGACTGTCGAACAGATGGCAGTTGACTCTATGCCCTTGATCACTCTGCTAACCACGCTACATTTACCATTACAACAGCAAAGGTTTCACGAGAGATGTGATCAGTGGCCGAAAGTCGAACTGGGACCCTTTGGAGGCCATGATGAAGGCACAACGCACTCCAATCTTAATCTTGTGGTACTGGACTGGCACCTCGATGACTGGCCCCTCTATCAATTTCCGGCTAGCGGAAGTCGTATTGCACCCTACGGTCGGTGCTATGGCCTACGTGCCTATCATGTAGTCCTCCTGCCTAGGGCCCGTCATCTGGACCATACTTTATCAATGCAATCATCTGCAAACCTCGCCGCATACCCAGCTACATTCTCGTCTTCGTTCACCACACTCGTTGCTTCAACTGCTCAACATTCATTGCTTTGTACTTCAAACCTCATTCATACTTATCATCGCTGGTTTCATATTCTGAGGTTTGCATGCCATAGCCGCCATGCAGGTCCAGTCACCCCAGCCCTTGTCCAGGCTGTCGGCGGACATTCCCCTCTTGGAAGGTACTCCGGTCGATGGATCGCCACAACATCGAGACGTCCTCCAGGAGCGTTACGCTGCGCAGTCTCACAACACTCACATCAGTACGGCATCGCCGCAAGTGGGACAAAGGAGCAGTCTCAGCCCCTCGGAAAACACTCACGCACAACGGAACGTCGCCACAGGAACATACTACACTGGCAATGTACACGCACAACACATCGGATTGGCAGGCTTCGGCGTCGAGAGGTCAGAGAAGCAAATTAGATGCGAGCTCGCGCGACTATACAAACTACTCCAGCGATCGGAAAAGTACCAGACATACCGTGAGAAACAACCAGCTCTCTCACCGGCCGAAGTCGTCGCGCGAGACGCTGCAGAGAGGAAAGAGCAGGAAAAGAGAAAGGCGCAGGGACTACAGCAAGAGAAGGACAAGACTGTTTGGCCTGAATTCTTAGAGCATGCCTTCTGGACAGGTAAGTCTTCACTTTCATTTCACTGCGTCTCGCAGTGCGCCTGTCTCGCTGCCTGTGTTTCCCACTTTAATCCTCCCACCACCTATGATTACGCAGCTTCACGATTCCAGCCCAACATCTGACAAACATTCATCAGCACTCGTTCAATGGCCGCCAATGGGTCGAAAGAAATACATGCTCGAAGGCACCCAGCGAGGGCGGAATGAGCTGATCCAGGATTCTATTTACAGAGACACCGGTATCAGACGCGATCGCAAACAGGTTTCCAGCCATCTTCAGGTCCTCAAGGACAAGCTCAGAGGTGTTCCTGCTGGTGAGTGCCCGTCTCGTACGTCGTGTAACGATCGGCATCCGCCTCTTCTCATTCGCTTATGGCATCCGGGCGGCGGACCCGCATGCGTCGATCCAGTTTCAAGTCATCAGAACATTCCTATCTTCCAAAGTTCTTCTAGAAGGCAGTGGCGGTGGCTTTGCGGTTGCTATTCCTGGTGTGATTGGGAGGGTTCAGCTAGGGACTACTAAAATGAGACTAACCTGCACGACAGTCCTACTCTACATGGCCACACCAGAGGACGTCTCTAAGCGCCGATCTGCGAATACATCCGCTCGATCATCTTATTCGTCACAGCTGCATGGCCGCCAACATGCGCAGCGCACAGAGTCTGTTACCAAATCCGATTCCAGTACCTCCTCACCGCACGTTTTGCCGCATTGTAGCGGCCCACAATCCGACCTTGCCCTGGGTTCCGGCCCGGATTCTGATGCGCTGTCTTCGTCATTCGCAGTCACGGGCTTCAAGATCCTCCTTGAGGAGGATCATCAGCCTGTGCACTGTTTGGCTCAAACACAATCGCATGGCAGGCTCGACAGCTCGGATGTGGTAGATCTTGCCTCTTGGCACCGTCAGTACCGCGAGTTCAACTTCCTCCGATCCGAGACCGAGGGCTGGATAGGTAATGCTCGCAAGGTGTTGGTCGCTACCGTGTCCACGGACTTGATGACAGAGTTGCCACCGAATGCCGACCTATCCATCATCTTTGATCTTCACTCGCATTTCGATCTGTCAAGGTACGACTATGTGGAATGCATGACACGCTTCTACAACAGCGGCGACAACGTCATTGACCCGCAATTTGACCGCGCGAGGCATGACCGGGAAGAAACGCGAACCACTTGCGAGTATCGGCGAGACCCCCAAGGCTCTCAAGGTGTCCTATGCGTGCAATTTACGACGCAGCCATGGGCGAGGCATGTGAGGGAGATTCAGAATCCGACGCACGGAAGCGAGGAAAGCGTCAGAAAATCGCTTCAACACCTGGCAGCAAGACAGTACATATGTGGTGTTACAGCTAACACAGGCGAGGTCCGATGCCTTACTACAGTTCTCTGGAGGTTCCAGCAGACGAGTGAATCTGCAGAAGTTGGCAACATTGAGTGGCGTTCCGTAAGGTTCGCTGATCACCGGCCAGCTGCAGGGGAAATATGTTGTTATGAGGCGATATCCAAGACTGAAGATTCGGAAGACACGGAAGTTGGTCATAAACGTACTCTGGTCATACCAACGTCTACACATACGGACGCGACGCCTTATTACCAAACTACACAACTACCATTGGACTTGGCACAGACACATATAAGCCACCACTCGTACGAGACAGAGCCTCACCATGCGTACCTGCCACCACATCTTTCTGTCGATGTTCTCGAACCAACTCAACCAGATTCAGACCACCTCAATACCTCGGTGGTCACTACCACCACTGAGTTCTCCGGTGGAAGCTTTGCACGATCACGTACTCCTGGCATGGCATCGCCGAACACACAAGGCAACGACCTCAACTTCAATGCCGGACATATGGCTATCCGAGGCGACTTCGAACCTGTGAACAACCCTCAGGTATATGGGGGCTTCCTTAGCCAAAGCGATGAACATGAGGGATTGCATACGCTTGCTGGACTGGAGCACGATGAGCTCGCGACTATGGGGCTTGCTGTCGGCGAACATGGAGAGCTGATTCCAGTGGATGCAAACAATAATCTGCACTATTCCACCAATGCAGCTTGCTATTCGGCCAAATCCAACTGGCAGCACGCACACCTCGTTTCGCACCTCGAGAATGCAGCAGAGCAGTATCGCCCTTACCTCAACCATGATGGTCATGCTCAGGTAGCAGCAAATCACGGTATTGTCCATGACCACGACCCATATCAACAAGTCGATCAAAGACAGGATTCAGTGGCGGGTATCTTTCCCAACGTGAATCACACCTATTGGGGTTTGCACGGGCTCCAAAGCCCATTCCAAGACGACATGGGTAGTGGTGCCGTTCATGGGACAGAACACTTAGAAGAGCAAACACACGGTCCAAACTACGGTGTGCCGGGTCTAGTTGAGAGAGACCAAACAGGAAGAGGTTATTAGACCTCGGTCGCCACCCCTTATTGGCGCTTACGACGAAATGAATTCATGTTAGTTACATATGTATCATGTAGATTAAGATTAGGTAGATTATCGAAAGAGTATAAAGGTCTCACGAAGGCGAAATTTGATACCTATCTCGTACGACATGTCTCGACACACTGATCACAAAATGCTCTCCTCCTGCACGTACAACAGCCCTTGGATTTTCCGATCCCTTTGACGCCGCGAAGATACATGAAACATGGTCGACCCACTGACGCATGCATCTTGACAGAGCTACCCGAGCCGCTCAAAACTACACGCTAGCAACGGCAATGGCGTCAGACTCCCGGCTAGGCATTAAACGGTCGATAGGGCGTTCCTTACGCTGCACAGCCGATCAACCTGCATACAAACCTAAAATAGACAAGATATGCACATGTAGAAGCTTTGATCTCCGCGGTGAGCCCAACAACGCTACCTCCGATCCCGCATAACGATCTGTAAGGACATTGAGGCATGTAGGCGGAATCCAAGGATAAACTACGTAGATTGCCAACGGCCGCGGCCACACCCGCAAGGGAAGCGGTGCGCCTCGGGTACCCTGGATGTTCAGTGCATGGGCATGTGCATGATCCCTTTGCTGCACTCCGCCACGATAACAGATGTTGTTTACCTAATGCTATCGCTACACCGCATGCGCACCGGCGTGATTACAGCCCAAGGTCCTGCAAGACGCCCAAGGCGCGTCAAGTCGACAAACGCGCTGGCGCGCGGTCACGCCTGCTTGCCCGCATTGAGCGGGGCAAACAGCGAGGAAGCTCCACTTTCAAGCAGACGACAACAGCAAGCGCTCGGCACGCTACTCCGTTCGCGGACTTTGCTATGGACACGGCGGGGGAGGATTTGAAGAGATACTTGATTGTTCCTCCAGTTTCTTCTTCTTCTTCTTCGTCATCAATTCTTTCGTCTTCAAACCTGGTTGCTAGTAGTGAGGAAAAAAAGATCTCGGTGAGGAGCAGCGAGGATACGAAATACGAGCAAACAGCCTCCACCAACAACAAGGCTGAGAAGAGAAAGATGGAAGTCGATACGCCCACTCCTCTGCCCACTTCCTTCGGAGGTGCGCATGCAGAAATGAAGGATATAAGTACGCCACTCGACGGCGTCATCAGTATGGACGATTTTATGATCCAGCACAAACCCGCGCATGAAGCCCAAAAACTCGTCAAGGAAACCAAACAACCCGCACCTCCTCCCTCAAAGAAAGCCAAAACTCCCAACCAAAAAGCCACCCCTCTTGTCCCCGTTGCAGTCGGCGCCCGCTCCTCCCGACACACAATCCTCCTCCACGAAAAGTACCAAGCCCTCGGCATCCCACAACCACTCTTCACCTACGGAGGAGGCAGTGAAACAGGCTGGACTGTTTCCGTTTCCTTTCCCGGTCTAGATGATGCGGAGGAGCTTCAAGGATTGAAGTTCGAGGAAGAGAGGAAGTTTAATAGCAAGCAAGAGGCCAAGGAGGCTTTGAGTCAGAAAGCGTTGGGTGTGTTGGAGGAGTTGGAGAGGGAGGGGAGGGTCAAGAAAGGTGGGAAGGGGAAGAAGAAGAAGGGGGGTGGTGAGGGGGAGGGGAAGGTTGTGGAGAAGGGGAAGGAGGAGAAGGAGAAGGGACCTGGTGAGAATTATGTTGGGAAGTTGCTGGAATTCCAGCGCGCAACCGACTCCCCCCAACCTACTTATACGGATTATCAGTCCGGGCAACGCTTCTCCTGCATCATCACCATCGAAGAAGAAGGCAAATCTCAGCAATTCGGCTCCATCTCAAACCTCTTCTCCTCAAAGAAAGCCGCTCGACAAGACGCTGCCCGCCACGCCGTCGAGCACTTCAAAGCCCTCGGTACCTGGCCCACGGACGACACCGCCGTCGGCGGCATCCGAAAGAGAAAGAAAGCCTCACCCATCGACCCAGATACCGTCTCAATATCCCCACTAGACAACTCCAGTTCCCCCTCCCCAACCCCCATCCAGTCCACAACACCCACCCCCGCGCCCCCAGGCACCCCCTCCTACGCCTCCCGCGTCGCCACCCTCGCCGTCACCCTCGCCCTGCCCACACCCGAATGGAACTACACGCCCCACCCCTCCGACCCTACCTTCCACAGCGTGTGCTGTTTCTTCAAAGGCGCAGGCCAGCACGAAGGACCTATCGGCGAGGTACGCAATATCCACGGGAAGAAGAAGGCGAAGGAGGAGTGTGCGCGGTTGACGCTGGAGTATCTCACGCGGGTGAAGGAGGAGAGGTTGAGGTATGGGATTAGTGTTATGAGGGGGGTGCTTGGGAGTGAGGGGGTTGAGGGGGTTATTGAGGGGGGGTTGGGGAGGGGGGGACTGGGTGAGGGCGAGGGAGCGAAGAAGGGAGGGGAGAAGATGGTTGGGGATGTGGGGGGGAAGGTGAGGTTGGGTACGGGGCTTGATGGTGTGGATGAGAGGGTGGGGGATATGGATGTGGATGTGGGGGAGAGTAGTGAGGATGAGGTGTTTGCTGATGCTGTGGAGGGTTAGGGGTTGATATCCACTGCGGAGGCGTTGGCTTGTATAGCAGCTTTGCGTAGTGTACAGCGGGGTTGGGTAGAGATGGTGTGGCCTGGACCTTGTATACTGGCGTTCGGTATAGATGAACTTTGGGTTTGACTGTAGTATAGCCCTCTGATGAATACCCATACAACATATCCAAACCCTCGTCCTCCCCCACTTCCACCCAACACATCTACCTCACCATCTCCGCACACATATTAAAGGGGAAAGCAATCGAACACCCAAGTAAAATGACCAGTAATATTCGCGCATCTCCACGATACACATGTCTAAACTCCATTCTTACCTCCCGCAGAAGGCATGAAGTAGACAGGAGACTAGTTGTACAGTTTACCCAGTCCCACTAACATTTGAGATACACTCGATGGGAGGCTCACTAAGCCCACCTCGACACTCTTCGCGAAGAAAAAAGCAGAATATCCATTCGCACCATTCGCCGTGATAAGCAACCCAGCGAAAGCGACGACAGGGAAAAAACATGTACAGGTACAGAGGACCATTGCGACCGTAAAGCCCATAGACTCAACCGCAAAATCAGAAACCGGGAAGTCGGCCGCTCTTCTAAGACGAAGCAGCCTCGCTCTTCCTCTTACTCCGATCACGCTTCTTCTCCTTACCAGCCTTATCCGCCTTCTCCTTCTCCTGCGCCGCCGCGTTCTCTTTATCGCCTTCCATCTCCGTGTTGCGCGTGCTACGACCGGATTTAGCCTTCTTCTTCGCGGCGCCCGTCTCCTCGGGGGGAGTGGGTTCGTCGTGAGAGGAAGCAGGGGCAGGAGCGATGGGTTGGGGCGCGGATTTCTCCTTCTTCTTCTTGTCTTTCTTTGCGGGGGTTTCGGCGACGGCGGGGGCGGTTGAAGCGGAGGTTTGGGGTGCGGAGCGCGAGGTAGGCAGGGGCACGGGTGTGGATGCTGTGGCGGGCGCGATGGAGACGGGGATTGAGTTGCCGTTTACAGCGGGCGTGGTCTTCTGGCGCTTGCGGGGTGTCTTTGCGGGGGGAGACGGGGCTTTGGCGGGCGCTTCGTCTTCGTCTTCCGAGGAGGCGTCGCTGTCGGCGGCGCCGGCTTCGACTTCGGCTTCGATTTCTGGCTCGCCTTCCTCGGACGCGTCGTCTTCTTCGATTTCGGCGTCCTTGATGCCCTTCTGCTTGACGTATTCGGCCATTTGGACTTTCCATTCTTCCATGGAGTTGCGGTAGGATGCTTTCCATTCCTGTGGTTGGGTTAGTGAGATGTCGATTGTTGGGTGATGCGATTGTGTGCTTACCTCCTTCTCTGCGTCGGAAAGCTCAGCCCAGCGCCTGTTGACCTCGGTTTGGACGGCGGCCGGAGCGAGTGTGCCACCGGGGGCGAGCGCTGCCTCCAGATCCGCCTTGACGATGGGACGCGCGTGTTGGTGGTAGAGGAAAGCAGCAGTGAGGGGCTTCTTGGGCGCATTGGGATCCTTTTCCTTCTTCTCGCGCTTGCGCTTCTTGCTCTTGACGCCATCGATTGCCTTCTCAGCAGGCGCGCCAACGTCTCCGGCTACGCTGTCCATGAGCTTTTGGCCACTCTCTACAACATTCGCGGCGGTCTTGATGGTGCTTGTGATAGCATCGTTCTCGGTTGAGACGTCGTCTTTTTCGATGCCAAGGACTGATGCGCAGTGCTTGTTGTAGTGGTCCATGAGGACGGTGATCTGGTGTTGTACGTTGACGAGGCCATTCTGGAGGCTGTGGAGAGAGCCCAGAACCTGCGCGTAATTGTAAGTTTTTGCACTGTAAAATCACCATGTATCGGGTCGCGTAGATTACGCGATCCATGTTACACAGACGTATCCATATGGCGACGTGATGGTGGCGCGATAATGCGCGCTGACCGCGTGGTGTTCCGACGCGACGACAGAGCTATGCGCGCGTGTCGCAATTGCGATTGGAGAGTGCAAAAGGGAAATTGGGTACGTACGTGGTCTCTGGTCCGATTGAATTCTGCAACAGAGATCAGCAATTCGCCGGTGGCGGGCGTCTTCTTCTTGGGGACCATGTTGGGCGGCGTGGTATGGGCAGAGGGTGAAGACGCGTTGACGGGCGGGAGGTTGAAGAGGGAGGGCGCGGGAAGGGCGGAGGAGCGCTGAAATTTCGGGGGGTCGGGGGCATAGCTCCCTTAAGTGACAGCCCAAACACAAGCGAACGTGCCCTGATTTTTGGGCAGTCACCAGCCCATTCCGGGGGGCACCAGTAGATTAATGCCCCCAAAATTCAAATCTAGGCTTACTTTTCGCGCCTGCAGCCTGAACAAAAGGCGCGTTTTCAAGATGCATCTAGATAAACTGCACGCAAAAGTTGTGCGCATCCTTTAATAAGCGTCTACTACCTTCCAGAAGTCATTGTCTACTTTCAGTGCGCATTCCAGCTCTGTTGCGCAATGCATATCTCTGTTGCAGCGTGTTGTGCAACTTAGGTGGCGTAGGCCGCCTATTAAAGCGAGAGCGCCCATCCGCTGGGCAGAGTGCGCCTAGCAAGTGCCCCCCCAAGCCGCCCGTGATAAGAGCCTCGCTTTGGTGCTACCTCCCCATCTTTGCCCGTGTTTCAGGCGCTGTTTGGCATTGCCTGCCACCACCACGCAACATGTCAAATTCCACTTTTCGACGGCGGCTCATATTTTCGCACGATGTATCATAGTAAAATTCCAGACAGTCTTTTCTTCTTTTGCAGTCATCTTTGATATTGTTACCTATCTACTCCTTGAACCGACCACCTTCGCTGACGTCAGGGTATACGTCAAATCGCCTCTGTCCATACAGTGGCACTCCCTTCCTGGTCTCTTCGATCTTGCCCGCCTCCAATTCGCGAATGAGCACACCCTCCTTCTCGTCTAGCTGCTCTAACACTACAGCATTAGGGTCAACGACCATGCTATGTCCCCACGCGTTGTATTCAGCCTCCATGTCTCTTGCCGGACTACACAGTCCAACGTAGACCTGGTTGTCCGTCGCCCTAGCCCTCGCCAGCAACTCCCAATGTAACGCGCCGGTTGTGAGATTGAATGCGCCGGGGTATAATAGCAGGAACGCGCCCTTCCTCGCCGCGATCATGGCGAGCTCGGGGAACCGTATGTCGTAGCAGATGGCTATTGCAATCTTTCCGTATTCGGGGAGGTCGACTAGTGTGATCTTATTGCCTGGCGACAGCACCTCGCTCTCTTTGAACTTGATCTTGCCTGGGATATCGATGTCGAACAAGTGCACCTTGCGATGAGTGGCAAGTAGTTCTCCACTAGGCGCAAAGGTCAAACTCGTGTTGTACAGCTTCTTTGTATCCTTATCATCTCTCTCCGGTATGCTTCCTCCAACAAGGTACACGCCCGCCTCTTTTGCCAATTTGCTCAATGCGTGGAACGTTTGCGATTGCGATTCCGATGGCGGGGATGGGAGGAGCGTCTCGGCGTACTTGTCGAAGTACTTTGTTCCGTAGGGCGAATTGAAGCATTCGGGCAGGACTACGAGTTTCGCGCCGGCTTTTGAAGCATCGAGCACCTTTTGGCGCGCTGAAGTGAGGTTTGCGGTCTTATCGGCGCCTGAGGCGAGTTGGATGAGCGCGAGCTTTAGCGACTTTTTGAGGAGGGACGCCATGGTTCGTGCTTGTGTGAGGAATTGGTGAGACTACAAGGGAAATAATCCGGGGAAACTCGAAGCTGAAGTATATACAATGCGATGTTGGAGGTCTGGTTGGAGTGTTGGAGTAGAGTTGGGGTGGGGGTTAGCTCCAGATGTCCGCACTATGTCATCAATCGCTCGGACTCGCCGCCCCGATCATGGCGGGGTGTGCCTGCCGACGCGTTGGACGCGTTCCTTCACTCCTCCACCACACCACACGTCGATACCGTCTACTCCAACAACATTGCGCAAGCGCGTCACTAATCGTCACTCAAAGATACTGGCAATGAGAGATCTCGCATTCCATCATTGTTTTACACCACATTGGTATAAAGAAGACGATATCCCATCGCTTGATACCGCTGCCTTTACTATGGCCATGGATCGTTCCTTCCCAACTCTTCGCCCTGGATTATCGTAGTGGAGCAGGAAAACGCACTGATTATAAAGATACCGCTTGGCCAAGCCCGTTCTGTTATCCTACGCTTCATCTACAATGTATCGACGACGACAAAATCCTTGATGGGAAGATCCCCGGATAGACATTCGGATTTTGGTCCATCGAGAAGTCCGCAGACGCAGCCCTCTTGGAAATCGTAACGTATCGATAAATCTGTTTCCGTACACTCTCAGGCAAATACAACAGGTTTGGATAATACCATTGCTTTGTGGGGCTAGGCCTGCCTTTTTCCCTGCCAGGCCACAGTGGAAAGTGTTGTTGTGCGTCTCGATGACTACCATGACGGCCAAGCACAACGTACCCAGGAATACTCCAAGAGTGAGACGGGTGAGACGGATGATACATGAATGGCTTAGTTAGCACAGAAAGAATCTGCCAAGAGTACTTCTTGAAGTCGTCGGTATCTGCGCGGAGGTACTCGAGTACTGTGTTGACAGTCTTGATGTCAAATAGCTGACGCTGAGCGAAGTGCGGATTGTCCTCTATATCGCCAAGACCCGCGTCAGACTGTACAAATTCGAAAGCGACTTTCGCAGTCGAAGGTGACCACATTGCCTTTACGAGCGGAGCAATATCGACGTTCTGGAACCACGGATAATGCTCGAGGCAGGCACTTTCAGAGCATCCATTGGCGACATCGATCTTCACCCGTCGAACATACTGCATGTGGGACCCCGAACACCAGATCGCAGCCGATCGAATCTGCCCAAATCCTTTTGCGACCGCCTTGATCTGTGTACCCCTTTTGGTATGGCCGTCCGGTATCATGCCGAATACGAAAGTGTTGTTGCTGTACAAGACACTTGCGGCCTCGTCATAGATCTGCCGGCAGCTGCGTAGCAATTTGATACCATCGCGGATACTGGCAAACGCAGCTGTATTGACCGGTGCGCATGAATTTGATTTCATATCTTCACCCTGGATACCCGTTTCTTGGTCCTCCGAGCATAGGAATCGGATGTTTTCTTTAGGTTCAAAGAGATCAACGTATATCATGGTGCGTATCTCGCCTGGCAAATCGAGGATTGAGCCACCGATGTGAGCTTTGCTGGCTTTCGTCCGCGGGATTTCGATGAATCGGATCGCCATTTCGGATGCCTGGTCGCAGAGTGTGAGTTGAAAAATTTGCGAGATTGGAATTGACGGAGCTGGTTCTTTAGATACTCGAAGGGAGAAAGAAAGAGCGGCAGCCTGATTGACTAAGCATGTGTAGTGCACTGACCTGGAGGCCGTGGTTCAGTACCTTGCCGACGCAGGAACGCTACGACTTAAGGCGCACATCGCCACTACGGAATCTGCCTGGTGCACAGACATCCAAAAAGTCTCCGTTCATTGCTCCTTGTTATAAACCGGCTTTTCGATCTCAAACACTTACCGCACTCTTTAGCATTCAACTCGCCTACTCGAGCCCACAACATGGCGCCGAAGAATACGCCGAAGCCGATCGCAAAAGGCAACTCTACGAAAGCCAACCCGGATATCCTTTCCTTCCTCGACCTACCAGCCGAAATCCGAAACCAGATATATGGAATCCTCTTCACGAAAGGTGCCGTAGACAGTCAAGTGCATGAGCTGCACAACTGTGATCTCGGGCCTTGGTACTCGCCGTCCACATCTTCGACGAGTATAAGACTATGGAAGATGGATGACGATCGCGTATCCTTCCAAAAAGACGGTTGTCATATCGATGGTATACAAAGCACACGTGCACAATTTCTCGAAGCGAAGCCATTACTCTCAACATGTCGACAGGTCTATCACGAAGCCGTCACAACGTTTCTGAAAAGTAATACCTGGACTATTGCATCAGGATGTTCTTCATTCAGACACCAGATTGGCACACTTTTAAAAGGCGCAGCAATATTCTTGAGCGCACTTGGTTCTCAATCCGGATTGCTAGAGAGCTTGAAGATCGATATGGTGGGCAGCTTGGTGTGACTGTGGAGGTTCTTGGGGCTGTTGATGGTGGCGAAGGTTGAAAGACAAGAGAACATTCACTCTTTGTCAACGCTCGTATGTGCCCTCCTCCACTCGTACCACGGCTACGGATCGTACATGGTGCCTGATTAGGCTGTCCGGTGCGTAATTATCTTCACTCTTACTAGTAATTACCCCTATTAGCTCCTGGTCGTGCCGTGGTACGTTCAATTGCCAACCCGGCAGGCAATAGTCTTTCACCAATACTAGGTAGTCAGGTGCTACCCCAGCCCCAGTCACAGTCAAAAGAAAAAGCGCTTCACTTCATGTAAGCAAAGTGAAACGATGTCAGGATCCACGAACGATACTGGCGCACAGACGTTGACCTTCTTCCTTCGTCGTATATAACAACCCGTACAGCAAAATATTCCACTCCCGACTCTCACTCCCTTCAACCCACCCGAACTCAACAGCTATGGCAACAGTCCCACGATCGGAACCAATACCGAAAACACCAGCCATCCCTGCTGTGGCTGGTGCAAAAACGCTCTTCTCTTTACCTGGAGAAATTCGGAACAAGATCTATAGCTATCTAATTCCTGCCCACGGCGAGATTGAACTATATCAGCTTACCCGAGGTCAGAGGTTTGCTTCCGCGGATAATTTTCCAATACACACTCGACACGCACATGCGCTAAAGCTGCTTACCACGTGCCGGCAAGTCTACCACGAGGCCACGTCCTTATTCCTGTCGAGTAACACGTGGGTTATCTCAAGGGCTTCGTACGACAAGTCGGGGTACCGAGTTACACAAGCAGACGACCTCGTGACTTGGTTGACTATGCTCGGATCCAGTTCGGCCATGGTACAAAAGGTTATTGTCAACTTGGCTGAAAACACCCCCAATGGCAGTTCCGAACTCAAATGGCGCCTAAAAATTGACTCCAGCCAGGATACAACTGACATGGTTGAGGCTGTCAAACTAGGCAATCTGCTGAAGCGTCTCTGGGCAACCCCTAATGCGATCCGTGCGATCAAGATTGTTAGCCCCAAGGGAGCAGGCAAAAACTATAAGTACCTGAATAACAATGCTTTTAACCCAATGTTTAGCAAGACACATCCGGAGAACAGAGGTAATAAGGCACATCCAGTCTTTGACACTGGTGCTATCACAAACACGCTCATAGCTCTCCGACGCGACGATCTCGGTCTGAAGAACTGTGGACGTCAGGTGCACGATGTCCTCATCCGAAGAGATGGTCTAGAAGGGTATATCCTGTTCGACTACAACTACTATAAGCCGTCACACAATCGTCCCCGCGTTGAGAGGACCTACGTTGAGCGGAAGTTCTCCATCACGAACGGCGGCAAAACACTGTCACTTCAACCCGCCGACACCCCCGGATTGATGAACCTACCACAGCACCTCAAGATCCGGCTTTTCGAATCGCTTTGTCTCGCTAAAGGGTTTCTTGACCCCTGGCGAAGTACAGTCACCGTCGATCTGGACCAAAAGACTACAGTAGGCGCAACTCCAGTGCTGGAATCGGTATCGCAACATCTGCGATCGGAGTGCTACTATCGCTTCTGGCTGGCCAATATGATCTCAGTCAAGATGCGGAGTACGGATGTGAAAACAGACTTCGACCACTTCGACAAACTATGCGTCTTCTGCTGTACCGCGTCTACTCCACGCGAGCCCTGGAGGATGAGCAACAGACGTAAAGGAATCCGCGACCTGGAGTTTCTACTTCAGTTCAACGTTTCGCTCGCACCCAAACTCGATGATTTGCGTGTCAACGTACTCGATTTCCTACGCGTGACGTCGTACCTCGATAGCCGCGATAGGAAAATCACGTTCCAGATCGGCGATACAAACGACAAGGCGTCTGTCTCCTTAGCACACCTCCGCACATGCGCACTCATCGCCCTGACCGAGTTTCAACAAGCGTACAAGCGCACCCGCCCAGACACTAAGCGCTGTCCCAACATATGGGTCAACGGCTACGGGCGTATCGTGTGCGTTGAAGGGCCAGGCGGCAAATCTATCAACCCATCGGAGGCCATACAGCGACATGTGTCGCGTGAAAAGGGCGGCGAAGATGTGATTGTTATCAACCGTGAGTTTCGCAAGAAATACAGCGGGAACACAGGAGATGGGGATTCTGCGACACCCCCAGGCCGGTCTTTCGATGGTACGTTGGGGTGTTATTTGGGGTATTTGCAAAGTGTGGTGGTAGGGGATGAGGATGCGGCGTATTGGGCGGGGAGATGTAAGTTTTTTGTTTGATTCGGTTGTGAAGAGAGAGGCTGACTGATGTGTTTAGATTTTGTTTGCAGTGGATGATTTTCATGTTAAGTGTGTCGCACGAAACCAAGGGGAAGGATCGCACGGTTTGAATGACAGCTTGCTTCTTTGGCAGCTTTTAGAAAATTGAATGTAAGGCGGCGAGGGTGAGCTCTGTTTGAGTGTAGAGCTCAAGATAGCAATGGTGGCGAACAACCTCAGGTTCCATAGTGTCATCTGCAGCTCAGTCACTTCGATTGTGGGACATGCTATCTTTCTTTGCAAACACATTATTCTCGAGTCCTGTGATTATCGAAAACGCAACTGCTTTATTGAAGTACTAGACAAGCTGAACTTCGATAAATACGTGCTGCTCACATCGTCTTCTCCCTCTCTTCAACCCCCTCATAAAGTGCCACGGTCAACCCCTACACAGCTTTCTTCACAATCTATTAAGAAGTCTTCAGCAGAACAATACCAGCCATGCTTAGCAAGGATGCTTTCATTGCTTTGGGCAAAACCCCTCCACCTCCGCCCATCGCTGAGGGCACTTCAATACCATGCGATTCGACAGCGCCCTCATTACTCACTACAATTCCTGCCGAGGTTCGGAATGCTATATACGACACTCTCTTCCATGTACCAAGCGGCATACGGATGTGTTTCGGGTATTGCGGTCCCGAGTTCGAAGACCAGGAGCTGGGTGAGGATTTAGCATCTGGTCTTGCTCTTCTATCTACGTGCCGGCAGATCTATCAGGAAGCTGCCACGACTCTTTTCTCCAACAATACCTGGATCATGTCCAGATGTCCCACACGGATGCATCACACGTCAATAAATGCGCACATAATAGAGCCTACAGGTGCTGCGTGCATGCTTCAGATGTTTGGTTCTCGCAAGATGATGGTCAAGAATATCCTCCTCGACTTGGATATGACATGTCCGGTTCCATGCGCGTTGCACCGTATAGCACCTGAGCTTCAGAATAACGGAGGTGGTATGACTGGAGGGGAATGGACGCTGGAGCTGTGGACTCTCATGACTGAGCTATTTCATCTACCGGACCTCAAGGTGCAATTCGTGCATCCGAAACGCCGCCCTTACTTTGATCTCCATCCTACGGCTGGCTTTGGCCAGGTCGATCTAGGTCTTCACCTTAGCACACTCAACAACATATTGGACACCCTACGAGAAGACGCCATTGGCATCAGGAAGTATGGAAGACAGGTTCAACATGTGAGGATTTTGAGAGACTGTACACAGGGCTATGTGTTATTCCACATGCCGGGTCCCATGAGTAGTCACACGGTCGGCTTCGCAGACACAGTTCAGCTAGGATTCGTCATATCTCATGGGGGCAGAACGTTCAACTGGGCGGAACTTGAAAGGACGCCGCCTACCCTTGCAAACCTGCCATGGTATTCGAGAGATAAAATTCTGGACGAGGTTGCATTCCGAGGCATCGATCACGGTGGTAGCAATGGCGTCGGGGTCGTTTGGGACTTGGATAAAAAGACCTTGACCGGAGCATCACTTGTTGGGGGTGCAATATGCCAGAAGATTCGCAAGGATTACTACAGATGGATTTGGATAAACAAGCATGTCATCCTCAAGATGAGTACTAGCCAGACACGCGCGGATTTCAAGAAGTTTGGAAATCTCATGGAATTCTCGCCTCAACGCAGCGTCACTCACCACAATCCTTACCACGACCGATTTCAGACTTCGCATGTGACGCTCCTTCTAGAATTCAATACACCCTCTGACGTCTCGGTGGAAGACATCCGCGTCAACATCAGCCATTTGTTACGAATTACCGTAGACTGGTGTGGCAGTACGAAGGTTACCGTTTCTTTACCTGGAAGGAAAGATGAACCTCGTGCTGAGGCGACCATGAATCTATGGATGTGTCGAGCGTCTATGCTAACCGCACTTTCGGATGCTGGCAAACGCGTGAGGGAAATATATTGGATGAGTACCCATCCCGCTGTGTGGATGAATGGACGCTTGGAAGTGGTGGAAGTGGAGAAGGATAACCTTTCAGGGCCTTCGGAAGAAGAGGACTATCTTTGAGCAAAGTTCGATATACGGGAAGCCAAAGCGTAAGTTTTATTCAAGAACAAACTTGCGCTAGACTGACTGATTCCACCAGGTTGTTGTGTTCCTTAGTCCATCAGGACGATATGACTGCGACGACGGCGGTTCAAGATCACTCATGTCGTTTGGTGGCTTTGGTTTGATAGAGTTCGCAAGATATGTGAATGATGGCTGGTGTGTGCACGAGAAGGGGGAGAGAAAGCGTCAGACAAATTAGGAGCAGCAGTGCGATGGTAGTGAAGTATCAAAGCAGTGTATTGTAACCCGAAGTGCTCTGGCACCTCTCAAGCTGGGTCATCGTGAGACTTGTTTGGGACTATATCCTCCGTGACGCGAACCTCGTGGCTCCCCTCTAGCTCCGATAGTACGATCCAGGTTGGGAAGACACACAGCACCGTGATACCAAAGTTGATACCGATACTGACGAAGTGGTTGGCACCACCTTCCGATTGCATACTGTCGCGGTTGTTAGTTGGTGATCTGCGAATGCTTTCCAAGAATGGCAATACTTACGCCCAGGCGACAGTTTGACCGAGTGCCTCTACACCACGCAGGATACCAGTAAGATGGCTTAAGTTGGAAAGATCGGTCGCATACTGGCCTACTAGCCAGTAAAGGAATTGCTGGAATGCCTGACCGCCGAATTGCCAGAAGAAGACAAGCGCATAGCTTTTTCCGAATCCACCCTGGAACCAATCGAACACCGGAGGTTCCGATGCGTCGTAGTTTTGCTTCTGGAGAATCGTTGCCCAAATCCATGTGCCGACAAGGATGGTGATGATGGTGCAGAATGCAATGCGACCGCGCTTCTTGATGTGGATCTTCTGGTTGTCGAGGAGGAAGGCGATGATAAACGAGGAGAAGATACCGGCAAAGTTCGTGAAGAAGGAGGAGAAAGCGCGAGCTCGGACGGTGAAGTATGTCGTCAACCAGGTGCTCATGAAGCCATTGTAGAAGTAGCTGATGAAGAAAGCTGGCAGCAAAAGGAGAATACGGCGGCTGACAAACAGCTTGCCGACAGCCTTGAACTCGGCACCCCAGGTCGCGGCGCGCTCAGTGACGATCCTCGTGCCATCCTTTCGCCAGACCTTGTGCGCTGGCGACAAGCACAGGGCTACCGGAAGGCCAAGGCACATGATGACGATGAACACGATATAGGTCGTTGATGAAACCGATCCGGTAGTTTTGCGGTTCGCGTTCAGTCCCAGGTTGATAGATCCTCCAACAATCGGCCCAAGTGCCTTCGCGGTCTGCCAGATTGCAAGGTAGAAAGCGCGGTCTCCAGGTGATGGGTATCCGATGATGATAGCAGCCTCAGCAGCCCAGAAGAAACCAGCGGAGATACCACAAAGCGCGCTACCAAACAGCATGAACCATGTGTTTGCAGAGATGTTGTTGGTGTAGAGACCAGCGCCATACAGAGGGTACCCAATAGCACCCAATGCAAGACCATACGTCAATCCGATACGGTTGTTGATAGCTCCGGCAGCGACACAGACCACAGCGAAGAGTCCGTATACCAGGGCGTTGGCGGCAGAGACGGCGTACGGTTCAGCGGCGCCTCCAGCCCCTAACCCACCAAGCGCATCCCACATTCCCGGAGCCGTGAACGAGACACCACATGCGACCAGGATCTGGAAAGGCACCGAGCGGAAGAAGGGTCCAGAACCCTTGATGGAGCCCGAAGGCTCAGACAAGGAGGCGGACGACATGACGATGCGGAGAGGAAAAGATGGAGAGAAAAGATGTCGGGATGAGGTGAAGAACCTCAGTCCAACGTGGAGACTACATATCTTAAGAGTTCGGACGACACCGCGATGCTTGGCGAGCTTGGTATCCAATTTTTCTCTCCTTAGTGATGGATGTTGAGGCAATCACCGCAATCGAGACGTTTGGTGTTTTCTATGGGGCGAGCACGACATCTGCGCTAAATGACTCGCGCGTGGCGGCTTGCGACCCAAGCGTCCACGGGTCGGACCCTTTGGGTTATGACTTCACTCGAGTTTTCCTGTGGCTTGCCAAGTATGGTGCGGTTTCCGTCGGTTTGATGAGCATCTTCCGCGAAAGGTTGCAATAGATGCGCCATTTCGACATGAGATGCGGAAAGCACGTTATGTTGGGGTTGCCTGAAGGCGGCAGAGGGTTTGACACCCGCGGACGGCGGAATGGGGAGGACAAAGACCACGACAACTTGTCGGGCACCTTGCCTTCTAAAGTCTACAAGTGCCCATCGATTACGCACACCGTCGCTGATACTCAACTCTCTCCAGCCCTTGCGGCCCGGACGTCTCTTCACCGCTCTATTACTACTCGTCGACAGAGAATAGATGATTAATTTGCACATAGACCATCATCATGTTCCCGGCGACTAGACTTCCTTTCCTAATTCACATTATTGCGTTAATCTTCACCTTTGCTTTGGCAAATTCGAAAATGTTTCCAATGCACTGGAAAGAGAAGGAAGTCAAGATCAGGGAACAATCGTGCAAAAAGTAACCCAGCGTAAATTTTTCGTAACCATTAAACTAATCGTATATGATCGTACTTCCAGCTACCCTCAACTTCGGTCTCAAACGCGTGCGGCGACGAAAGCGGCAGCAGTAGGAGCATCGATCTCGTAGTTCCTGTGCTCAGGGGTGATGATGATACCGTTGTCGCAGATGTTGTCACCAGCATGGCAGATGATAAGAACCTTGCTAGCAGCAACAGAGCCGAAAGACTCGTCACGGTCAGCATCGCCGAATGTTACAACGGCGGTGACACGCGAGGCGGCGGAGGCTGTTAGCCTCTGTGTAGCAGTGTGCACGAGCTGCGCGCCCTGGGAGTATCCGGAGACGACGATCTTGGTTGAGGGGCACCGTGTAATAGCCTAGGTGTACAGTCAGCATCGTACTGATATATCAATATAGTCACCATGACACTCACTTGGTTGATCAAGTTGAACATAGTGGTGGCACCCGCGGCGTCGCCTCCAGCCAAGAAGCCAATGACGTTAGCCGGGTAGGTAACGCCTTGGATGGCCAAGTTGCTAGCACCTCCGACACGCGCAGCCAGAGCATTGAAGAAGGTTGGGCCTTCGGAGTTGGCCTCGCCTACATTACCAGCTAGAAATGGTATCAGTATACAACCCGCCTACGATCAGTAGAGAGATCTTACCTTGGGTAGTACCGCGAGCGTAGATGACGGTGACGCGACGGCAGGCGGTACCGTCAGTCAGTTGGTTGTAAGTGTCGCCGCTGAACTGGCGCTTGGTAAGGTCACGTGTTTCAACGTCCTGGTTCTCAAGCTGTGCCGCGTACTCCTCGACAGTAAGGTCTTTGTCGAGGAGGTCAGTGATGGGGAAGCTCACTCCGTTCGCAGGCGTTGGCGCAGCGAGGGCAGTGGTGAGAATAGCCGCAAGGGCAAGAAGGGAGCGAGCGCAAGTCTTCATGATGAGCGATTGTTGAGGGCGGCCGAGATGAAACGAAAGAAGTCTGAAGAGGCTGGTAGCGATGATCCACTAAGAGTAGGTGGAATATTTGACCTTTTGTATCCTGAGCCGTCGTTCTACCGAAGCAGAGCAAGTATGGCTATAGCCACTTCAGTACTATCTCCTGCGCTACTGCATCGCCTCTTGCAAGTACATTGGCAAGCCATGTCATCAGACCTTACCTACATGCCTATTTCTACCAGTTCAATTTCCTCCTCCGCTTCGTTAAGCTGGACTGTTCTTGTTTACCGCCGTCGACACCCAATGACTACACCTGATCCGTTCACGTTGACCAGTGATTGTCTAGTTCCTGTCCGACGCTTTAAATGACATGCATTGTGATGCATCGGGCCTTTATTGTGTACTCCTAGTTTGGCCTCTCCCTCCGTGTTTGGTGTTGCTGCCGGTCTTGTTACCTTCTTCTTCGGCCTTAGCACATTTATGAACCCCAGGTACCACCGGATATCTCGAAACACGTGGGGTAGACATGGGGTTTCCAGGACGAATAGAGAACATGTACACAGTCAATGCTGCGCAACGTGAGGACCATCGACGATACGATTCGTGCAGCCGAGGCATGTCAAGCATGTTGCGGCGCTACGAGGCGTCGATCAGTGAGAAATCTTCGATGCAGCGCCGGGAAGCAGCCGCTGCTGCATGTCGTGAGTGTATAATCACCACTTCTGCTGACAGATACTTGTGCTCATGGGATGTCACTGTCATCGAGTCGCATTGTTGCAATTTGGTGGCTTCCCAGTCAATGCGATGATGTCACGCCAAGCTTTATAGTTAGCGCCATCTCTGCCATCTTGTTCTGATGTTGTCCCTTTGATTTCGACAAACCTAGCCGATGTGCTCACCAGAATTCCATCACGACATTGAAAGCGACTTTGAAAATGTTGCACAATCGATATAGATGTGCTGTTCGCAAAGCGGGACACAAACTGCATGATCAAGACCCCTGGCTCCCAGCCACCTCGGAAGGTAACTAACACCAACACTACCAGCGCGACTGGACTACCAGCCAACACAAAATGGAAGGCGTCGCGATGCCGCAGTCGCTTTACTCATAGTCTTTGCTTCCGGAAGACGACCGTCGTTATCGCATATCGTCGCAAATGCTCGGAAGCTCAATGGAGAACCCCGCACACGGTACCCGTTGCCAAGCAGAGCATGCAGCAAAGCTGTTGAAATCTTCCCTAATTCTCCTTCTGGCGTCTTGGTAGCATTACGAGCTTCCACATACGATACAGATCGGCGCTCGCGAAAGCCATGATAGCAAGAGTTGCATTTCTCCGATGACGGCAGTCACTGCGGTATCGCGAGATGTTGGAGATACCGGCAGTCGACAGCCTGTCGCGAAGAGTGGGATGGCGAAAATGGTGGAGTATAAATTGTAGAAATGGAAGGTTTGGTAAGATCTCTTGTATCGTCCAAGCCAATTGTCTAGATCGATCAAGATGCGGTCCACATCCATCCTCGTGGTCTGCGCGGCAACACTGCTGCAGACAGCTCTCTCGTCACCTATCCACGCACATCATCCTCACCAGTCATTCCCGAGTGCGCAACAATGGCCATTGCCCGTCGTTGGAAAGGCGTTAGAGCAACAGATGCCGGATGAAGACCTTCAGGACATCATTTCGCAAATATCGCGCGACAACATCGAAGCTACGATCAGAAAGCTTGCATCGTTCGGCACGCGTCATACCCTATCCAGCCAAACTGACCCCAACCGAGGCATCGGCGCTGCGAGAACATGGCTCACGGCTAAATTTCAAGAAGCGGCAGATGAGAGCGAGGGAAGGATGACTGTAGACTGGAACAGCTTCATCAAATACCCCGGAGACAACGAGCGCATCATCTTCCCAGTAAACATCACAACCGTCGTCGCAACACTAAAAGGCAGCGAGGACCCAGAACGCGTCTACGTAACAGGCGGGCATTATGACTCGCGCAACAGCGACCCCATCGACTACCAAGGCGACGCACCCGGCGCCGTAGACGACGCCTCAGGCGTCGCAGTCTCTCTCGAACTCGCCCGTATCTTCGCACACTACAAGCCCAAAACAACCATCGTCTTCACAGCCTTCGCCGGCGAAGAACAAGGTCTCCTCGGCGCCGAGAACCTAGCCCAAACCTACAAGAATGCATCCGTAAATGTAGCAGGCATGATCAACCTCGACATGGTCGGCAACTCCAAAGCCTCCGACGGCACCATCGATCATTACAACATCCGGCTCTTCTGCCAGGGCACGCCTCTGACCGAGAACTCCACGAAGATGACATCGCGGCTTAGCATCGGCGGCGACAACGACAGTCCCGCTCGCAATCTCGGTCGCTTTATCTACGAAGTCGCATCGAATGCCTTCACGGAAATGACAGTGCGTCTCATCTACCGCCTCGACAGATACAGCAGAGGCGGCGACCACCGCCCCTTCCTCGAAGCAGGATACACCGGCGTTCGCTTCGTCCAGCCCAACGAGGACTACACGCAACAGCACCAAAACGTCACTGTCCGCAATGGAAAGCAATACGGCGATCTCGTCGAATGGCTAGACTTTGAGTACAACACGCGCGCCGCCAAGGTCGTTGCGTCCACTATGTGGAGTCTCGCCAACGCACCGGGTGAGCCAACGAATGTTGGTATCAACACCACGACGTCCGACAACTTCAGCCAGTTCAAGTGGGACGCGCCGAAGGGACTGCCGGTTGAGGGGTACGAGATTCTGTATCGTGATACGATTGAACCGCATTGGACGAATGTAATTGAGGTGGGGAATGTGAATTGGTTTAACCTTACCTCGGCGACGATCCATAAGGATAATGTTATTTTTGGGGTGAGGAGTGTGGGGAAGGGCGGGTATAAGAGTCCGGCGGTTCTTCCGTTTCCGTTTGGATGTTCGAGGAACTGTTAGCAGGGATGGGAAAGTTCATGTTGTTGTTGAAATCAAGATTACTATGTACTTTTCAAGAGAGTCATCGGTCTTGTTCAGATCGGCCACGTGCAACTCCTCACCAATTCCTGCACAAACGATATGTCTTGCTGGTGATCCGAAAAGCCTTCCGTCCCTTGCAGATTCCACTCGCAGACGTCCATACCACATACTAGCCGCGAGCTCCAACCAGAGCACAGCGTTAAGTAGTCGCTATCGGATGCCTCCAGGCTTTGTTGTCCACTTTTGTCTGTACCTGCTACTCGCATCGGCTGTCTTCAGATACTCCTCAGGTCCATGCATCTGCTTCCTTCCATGCAACACTCTCAGCTGTCTTAGTCCACCATAGAGACGATCACCCTTCTTAATTTATGCCAAGATAGTACCGTATGCAGTAACACATACTGGCCAGGCTATCGTTATTCATCTGAGAATAAATATCGAGAGGGGACACGCATTGCTCCCACATCCCGCTTTGGTCAAGATGAATGATCTTGCGACGGTATTGTTCAAGGACGTCAGCCGGATCGTCGATGGCATACGAACAGGGAATAGTTGTCTCCTCGGAGGTGGCCATAGCGGGGTATGTAGCGCACAAAGCAGTACCGTGGCCATCTATCCATATTTGTGGAAGAGGCTGATCGGCTTTCGAAGGATACTGCTCCAACACGTCTGATAGCAAGAGGAATACTGCTCTCTGAATGAGATGCCACTTGATGGACTGAGTGCCATTCATGCTGCTATCGGACTCTTGGACAGTAATCAGAAGACATCCATGGTCGTGTTTGAATATATGCAGAAGCTTGTTGATGTTTATACGAAAGTCCGCAGTGGGCTCTGGTGTGGAAAGCTTGAACATCAGAACCATGTTGATGAAACACTGCTCCTCTCTGCAATGATGTGGGTTGACTAGACTCTCAAAGTTGTCGACCTCTAACAGCTTTTGTAGTGCCTTGAAGTCATCGAAGTCGGTCCCAGCTTCCTGAGTAGACATACGGATGATAATCTCGTCGTACACTCTCGTATGCATCTGGTCGATGTCAAGCCGCAGCGAGGTGTCGACTCCGCTGAGCCCTATGCGGTAGCCCCGGGCTTCGCTGGCGTCCAGGTCGAATGCAACGTCTGTATCAGACGCGCGTGCGTACGCATTGATGGTCGACAGGCATTCTCCAGGCAAGGACACAAGATCCAGCTGTTCAGGTTCTTTCCACTGAATCTTGGAACCATGGTCTAAGATGGAGAAGCCTCTGTCTGGATGCGGGAAGGAACGTGGAATACGAGAATCGTTGTATTCGACATATCCACATTGGGCGTGGTCATGGTACCAGACCATTACTGATGAGATCAGGCCAGAGTATCTGGCATACTGCTTGAGGTTGAGAACGTCTGCGGTGCCTAATCCGAAGAGAATCGTGTTCATAATATCCGCGGCAGTGATTGAATCGTACGGTTCAGCGCCGTTGTTTTGTTCTTTGAACCCCGAATTTCTGGAAACAACGAAGGCAAATTCACATTTGGCCTGAGGATAACCCCAGATGAACTTCAACAGTGGTAACAGATCGTATCGTCGATATGTTGCTGGAGGTAATGCATCTGCGTCCATGCTCACGCGAGACAGGAGGTGATAGTGTGATCCGATTCTTGACAACCATGTGCAGGTAAATTGCATCTGATCTTCGAGGAACGGAGTGACGAAGAAAGTATTCTGCCCGTAGAGGATACCGACGGCTTCATGGTAGACTTGCCTGCATGATAGTAGAAGGTCGGTGCAACCTGCAAAGACATCACAGAAATCTTCTTCCTCGTCGTCCAGAATAACAGGTCTATATCTCTTGAACAGGTACTCGTAGATGCGGTTGCGGATCTCAGGCGGTAAGGTTGTGAGGATGCTGGGCGCGCGAGGATCGGCAGGACCGGATGTTGTTTTGGGGATCTCGATGACTGTATGGGTAGCCATCTTGTGCTGGCGGTCGAGTGATCGCAGCAGGTCGAGATGCTGCTGTAGGTTAATTAACGCTAGAGAAAGATTGCAGAAGGAAGTTGACGCTGGGTGGTACTGCAGTTCTAGGCAAACAACGGTCCGAGCGCGGAGCTAGCGCGAGGTGAGAGTCAAAGTCAATAAGAGCAGGAATCAAGTCGCACCTTATACAAGGGAAAAACTAAACACCCTAGAGCCTACATTAAGATAAACACATGTAATGTAGGTAGTCTAACGTCAACGTCGGCTCTAGGGTGTTCAATTTTTCCCTTGTATGAGGTGGTCGCGCCTGCCGTATTAGTCTCGTCGTTGAGTGAGAGAACTAATCACGCTTGAGCTTCAGCAGACCATAGTCATTCTCACCGAAAGACGCCTTTACCGGTCCTAGAGCTCGTTTCAGGTCAGTATTCCGCTCCTTCGCTACGGTAAGCAGCTCAGGGCAATCTGCCGCGTCCCAGCCTTCCAGCCCATGAACGAGTACAGCCAGTATCGAGTTCTTGAAAAGATACGTTCTTCTTCTGCTACCCAGCGCCGTCAGAGAAAGAAAAAGCGCGGAGTAAACGAGAAGCGCCAGCGGATACGCAAGCCAGGCCCATCTCACGTCGACGAAGATCTCCGGTCCGTAAGCTTCACTGGTGTTGTTGATAGCTGCGGAGTTGCCGGGACCTTGTATGACTTTGCTACCTACTTCTGCGAAGCCTCGGAAGGATTCAGGCCATGTGTGACGCTCGTGGTATGGCACAAAGTACGTGCTCAGTGTGGTGGATTTGAGAATCCTCGACGTGGCAGAGCCGAGCCAAAGGGTCGAATGATTGCCGATGTAGAATGTCTCGTTCAGGCCTTCTGCGCGGAACGCCTGGTCATATCCTGATCCTGCCTTATACGGGTCGCCAATCGCGTGCAGTGGCCATTCCTCCACTGAGTCGTAGCTCACGATCGTATTTCGTACGGTGGTACTGGAGTATCGCTTCGCACAATAGCTCAGTTTGCAGTGGGATATTGTCCCGTTCACCAGTCCAAGTCGATCAATTTCGTCAACACGAGTGATATCGGACGTCGACTTGAAGCAAGCGAATGCAGAAACATCTGGCAGTGGTAGCTTGTAAGGGTCAAGTATGATATCATCCTGGTACCGTTCGTAGTCGCCGATGCAGAACTCTATCTGCGGAGTAGAGTTCGATGGGTTCCATACGGGGTCATCATTGTTTGCAGTGACGAGGCCGAGTGTCCTATCCATGAGATCGCGTTCCAAGCGAAGGAGACCAAGTCGGTATCCATTGGATAGCTTCATATCTGAGCTGGTTACACCAACCTTAGGCCATGTATCGTTATCGCTGTAGCTCGTATGAATCCACATATCCATTTCCGGGTACCCTGGCTCCCTGATAACGCAATTTCTGTCCCACCGGGCTGATTCGCCGGCTGCAAAGTGATCTCTCATCGCGGTGTAGTTCCATCCGAATCTTACTTCTGTTTCGTTGAAAAATTGTGCGGTATTGAGACATCCTTCGTAACTATCATCTTGTTTGAAATCGCCGTTCCAGAAGTTGCCATCAAAGGACACGTCTCGGGAGGTGCAGGAATCGCAAAGACCCAGAGAGATGAATTGATCAAGTTTGCATTCTGCTGTCGGACAGTGTACGTTGCTTAGTAAATTGATGTCTTGCAAAGAGACATGGTCTATGACTCCAACAGTCAGAGTGTACTCCATGCCTATAGCATAGTTAATGAAAGGACGCTTGCCATCTGTGCGACTAACATACCAGCCAGATCAGCATTCTCTGTACTCCACACATCTGACAGTGCTTTGCTCGAGCTTAGAGTCCCAGTAGTATTGACTAGCAGCGCGGGTTTGGAGTAGACTCTCAAGACCTGCTGTGTGAAAGGCTCAAAGCCAAGCGAAAGAATCGTCAAGGCTGCTCCAAAAGACGCAAGCGCAGCGGACTTCCTCAGTCGCAGCTTGTAAAGAAAGGTAAAAGCTCCCCAAGGTCCACGGGTAGCCACATCGAAATCATAGAGGCGATTGACGGGCTTCGATTGTGGTGTCTGGAAGTAGATCCATTTCAGCTGTCCGATGCACTCGGCAAGAGGGACTAACAATGCCGATTTGGCAATAGTGGAGAACACCGCTATCAGAGAATTCGGTTGAATGGGGAGTCTCCAGTCCCTCATGGGCTTGCCGTCCATGGTGAAAAGGATAGCCAGGATGAGTGCCATGCACACAGTGCTCAGTAGCAATGCCGCCACTTCCCACCACCAGCCCATGAAATGCGAACGTCGCATGGGCGGTGGCTTTAAGGGAGGAGATGCGGACCCCTGTTGGGGTTGAATAGTTGACATGGAGTTCGAGCTGTTGATTAAGGACGGCGATCCTGTCCTTGCTGAGACTGGGGAGACTGAGTGGTGTGAGGGAGGTTGGCTTTGAGGAGACCCCAAGTCAGCCATTGCAAAGCTATCGAAGGAAAGCCGTCTGTCTGTGTCCAAGTGGTCGGATGCCACAGGACTTTGAGAAGTAGACATGTCTGTCGCATAAGTTGAACAGGGTAAGATGAGGAAAGTTGACAAAGACTAATAGCTCGAAGGATTGAGATCGAACTGGAAGGCCAATCGTGCCTTCTACTCGGTCATCGTCACACGATGCAACGCGACATCATTGCGGCGATGTCAACCTTGTGCCAGCTACACCAGTGCCGTCGTCAGATTTGAGCCCCCAGAACATGGTGTGGAGGCCAAAAACCACTCCCATGGTGTCGCACTCGCATACTCCGCCCCAATCTCTTGCAAGACCCCCGATGTAGTGTGAGTAGCTTCGGGTTGTACAAGAATGCGTTGAGATAAGCCGAACTGGGTGCACAACACATGCCCCTTCTTCAATCCAGTAGCGACTAGCTCACCGAGACCAACGAAGAGGGTTCCAAAAATTCCTGGAAGGCCCAGAAGGCCTACCAGAGCAGTCAATATATGTAGTTTTAAACCAGCAAAATTGCTACCTCAGACGTATCTTCACTGGTAAGCAAATCACCCCTGCACTAGGATGAGGAAGGAAGGAAGAGGCTGAGAGTTTGGCGGATTATATAGGCGGAGGGATCGCAGGCAGCAGTCTGTCACGGGTGCGGATGAGGCGTGGTTGGGACCCGTAGGGCTGCAGGCAACTGTTCGTCACGGGTTCAGATGAAAACTTAGAAACGTTGGGTGTGGTGGATCGAAGGATGATGGGATGAGGCAGCCACGGCGTACGCGGACTCGATGTGTCAGCAGCAACCACGTGATCATAGTGACTGCCCAATCGGCTCCAGATATGATCGAGGCGGAACGACAGGGGTCCGATTCTCGGCATATCATCTCGCCCACAATTCCTCCATGGTACACCCTCAAACAACAAAAAGTAAACATCACATCTTCACCACCCCTGCATAGCAAATGCGCTTCCGTGGCGCACTGGAAGAAAGTCGTCGCCGGCAAGAGCGCGACGACGGAAATGCTAGCAAGTCGCACAGGCTTGGCCTGCATAGCAAGGGCCAAGTTGGAGTAACCCTGCAGTAGGCATGGCAGTGGAACAGAGAGCTGGACCAGTCGTTCCTCGTGCATGCTTCGTCCCGCGGCATCCATGTCGAATACTCGGGCCCGGATAATCGGCGGGCGGGCGGACCTATTGGTCTCTCATGCGCTGGGTTACAACTCACCCGCCGTCGCAGGTGGGATTACACCAGGCATGCTTTGACAGCGAAGAGGCCGGCGATTCTCGTGTGTACCGTCGGCGAGGCTTGACAGGTGCAGCGACGCTTCTGCTTAGCAGGTGTGCTAGGTGGCGAGCAGAATGTTCAATAGGGTGGCCGAGGTCAGTCTGGTGAAAGAGCAAAAACTGGGGATCGTCGGTGTGAGCCTTCGCATAGCGGCCTTCAGGGTCTGGTCCCTGTTGCGACATCTGTGGCCAACTGTGAGGATCCAGAATAATAGCGAGCCATAATCGTGCATGTGCTGGCGGTGAGGGCAGAGAGCCTTGACGCGAGTAGAGTGCATGTCTTATACCCGCCTGCTCCCCTTTGATCCCATCTTGCTCGCTCTTCCCCTGCTCCTCGCCGGCCTCGCCTTTCAGACTTCTCTAGCTTGTGTTGTGTGGTGACGGCTAGCTGCACCGTTTTCCCACGTCGTCGCCGTGCCGCATTCTCGTCGCAAAACGCCGTCGACCCTTCCCGACCAATCTCGCAGCAAAAGCCGGGGTGTCCCCTCTGGCCCGCAAGATCTGCAGGATAGCGCAGTCGACATAGGATTCGAGCGATTCCCTCTGTGCATTCAGGGATTTTGCAAATTACCATCCACGGGACTTTCGGAACCTCGACGCGCAAGACAGCAGAGTCAGCTGTCAGGTACCCGGTGTGCACCATTCCGACGAGCGTCTGATAGCTAGTGGGAGAGCTAGGCGGCGTCAGAACGTGGGAACCTTGGAAACAGCGGTCACGCCCGAGGTCAGCACACACACCTGGCCGGCCCCTTAGTAAGGAGGAAGTTAGAGAAGGTGCGGGTGAGGCGGTCACATTCTGCGACAACCCACTTTCCGCCTTGTCCTTTCACACTCGAGCACCCAAACGCGCAATCTGCGAGCGACGGCGACACCTCATCTATCCACGCCTCCCTCTCGCACGGCGGCACACTTCCTACCAACAAACTTCGCCGTAACAGAACCTTCAAAGAGCGCCACACTACACAACCGCAGCCATGCACCGCAAAAACCCCATCAGCGTGCTCGTCTACAACACGCTTTTCCCCACGCCCTCGCCCACAGACCCTCCCTCCTTCAGCGCGCATCTCTCCAAAAACCTCGTCGGCGAAGTGCGCATCGAAACAGCAAACTTCTACGGCTCGCTCGACACAATCGAAGCGCGGTACCCAGGCCTAAACTACGCCTTCCAACCACACCGAAAACGCCTCGGCCGCTTCCCACACCACAAGCGACTCTTCGACGCATTCGACCGGCTCGGGCTAACCGAAGCCGAAATCCAAGGCTTCTGCAGATGGGAAGGCACACTCTGGGCACGAGAGCGCTATGAGCGAGACGAAGGCGTACGCGTAGTCGACACGACTGGCGTAGACATAGGGGAATGGGTCGACACACGCCGAGCCTACTCATCACGCCACAACAACGGCGCAGGCATCAACGTCAAGACGGACATTGAAGTCGAAATCGAAGAACTAGAACACCACAACCACCTCCTACACAACCCACTCACCCGGCAAAACATGCAACCGCCCAACCACCACCACAACGGCGGCGACACAGAAATGCCCGACTCCTCCTCCTCAGCCGAAGACGACGACGACGACGACGAAGACGGCGCAGCAGAAGCGTCAGACTCGGAATCAGACTCAGACTCCACATCCAACGAACTCTCCTCCTCGGTCGGCTTCTCCCTAAACGCGCGCCTCCTCCACGCCGCCGCCCTCCGCGAGTCCTCGGGCGCCCTAAACATACCCATGGACCCAGAATGGGAACAATACCTCAAAGAAGCGTCTGAGCGCGGCGAGCTCAACATCGACGCGACGAGAGAGGCGCTGCGGACGATGGCAGGCCAGATCGCGCAGTTGCACCAGAGCACCGTTGAGGCGGAGGGCAGCGAGGCGGTGCCGCAGACGTTTCAGCCAAATGCGGCTCCGGCTTAGGAGTCCGTAGACGCACGGATGCAGATGGAGATGGAAATGGATGCGGAGGCGGAAATACAATGGATGATCGACGACGGCGTCGAAGCAGCGGTTATTGTTATGTTTCCCGATGTGTTTCTAGCACCACCACCGAGGGCATGATTACGAAGGACACGACGACTGGAACGATCAGGACGAAGACGCAGTCAGTGGTGATAGGATACCCATCTTTAAGGATGGTGCTTGTTGTTGGCTTTGGCCTTTTGCCTCTCTCCTGCACTGCATGGCGTTTCTGCTTCTTTCCATACAAGACAGGCGTTTGATGGGCATTTCGCGAGATACCCCAGATTTCCTGCTGGGCTTTTCTTGTTTTGTTGGGATAATGGATGGTTCTTGTTATCATTTTATAGATTGGTGAGGAGGCTTTGGATGGGCAATGAGGCATGGAGTGAGGCATGCACGGCATATAGTCATAATCCATCATGTTCAGATTTTCAAGATGGGTGTTTGTGGTGTTCTTGTTTCTCATTATGTGCTTGATGCTTGCTTGCACTTGAGGAGTGATGGTTGCTCCGATCCCTATATGGAGCTATGGAGGGGTTGCTGACGCTCATGGCTTTTCCATCAAGTCTCCTTTGTCGGAGACTCGAATGTAGCTAGACATGACCCAAGGCTGCATCCTTCGTGAAGCCCTGCAATCCTCTGCGGGCACCACCGGCTGTGACCACATTGGTTTCCCATGCCAGACGGCCTTGAGGAAGTGCGAACCACTGTTGTGAAGACGTGACGTGTCGCAGTATTATGAGATACTACACACACCGTCGCCTTAACGCCTTCCAGAGCTCCCGAAGCCGAATCCGCCAGGGCCCCTCTTGGTACCCCTTGTGATCCTGCCGCTACTATCCTCATCGATCTCCATAGCGTCATCACCACCCATACCCATCAGATTCCGCTTGCCAGTGTTCTTCTCGTCACCGACCGTCATGACTGCCTCAAAGGCCCTCTCCTTCTTCCGACGCATCTTCTCTCGATCCAACGCTTCCTTCTTGACCTTTGCAACTTGCGCCTCCAGATCTGCGAGAGCGGAGTCGCACCGTTGTGACCATGACTGTAGGGTGTTTTGAAGGGCGGGGAGGGAACCTGGTGCGAGGTCGCGGAGCGGTGAGATAGATGTTACGGAGACGAGGGAATGTGCGGGGTCGAGCGTCGCGGTGATGAGGCCGGAGTAGATGGCGGTGGTGATGAGCTCCTCGAGAGCGCGGGTGGTGGGTAGCTCGAGAGCCGTCATGAGATGTTTGTAGGTGAGGGTGGCGTGTGAGTGTGAGAGCGGCAGTAACGAGAGTAGCAAGAGCTTCTGGTGTTGCTGTGCTGAGAGTTTAGGAAGATTTGCTTGAGCTTTGCGCTGTCAGTATACAACTTGATGGCTATGGTATGATCAACGCACCCTTGTAGTCTTCCCAGGTTCCCCAGGCGAAGATCTCGAGCAGGGTAAGATACGACGCATACTCCTCTGAATTCCGTAGGTTCTGGATGTTTGGTGTCTGTAGGAGTTCGGCGAATACGTATGTGTTGGGCGCACTGGTGGCTTGCACGATCAAGTCCGATGCTGCTCGTGGAGAAGTCGCGGACTTGCTGAGGGCCAGGAAGGGCTCGAGAGCGTTGAGGGCCTTGGTTTGCTCCATGTTGTATTATTGACGATGTAACAGCTTCTGGAGTGGTATGGGTGTGGCTTCAATGTAGCTGTCTATCGATAGTGGAAGGCGAGCAGGCAGCTGCATGTGAGGTACGTCTTGGCAATCGCGGTCGGTCGCGACTGCCCCGCGACTCAACCCCACCCGCCTTTACGCTCGGACATTCTCTCATTCAACGAGTTCGATTCCACAAAGGGAGTTGAATAGGCACTTTTTCTTTTTGCCCTTTGCGCTCAAGCATGGAATAGATTTGTCAGGCATCACCTCTGGGTCAGCGACACAGGCCTTGACTCGTACCCGACACCGCCTGCTCCGCAATCACGAGATAGGTTGTCGGCCACCCATCATCAATCACAGCGCGTGAACTAAGCAGTTCGTAAGACGAAGGACACCAAGTCCGGTCCACGTCGTGTTCGGTGACTGACACGGTGCACGCTCAATCCAGGCAAACTGCCACGGCACTGGTAATTTGTTTCGTTCGGTCAAAGCGGTAACAGGCCCTGAGGCTCCGCGTGTCTCATCTAAGGATCAGGAAGGGTTTTATGTTCCTTCCTGTTTCACATGCCAAGAAGGAAACACTATCGTCTAATGTCCGTGCCGCGTCAGAGACACCACCAACTCCTAGATATCACAATTATTCTTAATCCTTTTTCTGTCATCCTACGGACTTGGAGTGTGCCCTGCATCTCATAGCGCTTGCACTCTGACAGCTTGACGATCAGCTCGTGGCGGCGCCCTAGCAATAACGGCCTATCATCCACCTGCGGAGCCGGTCTAGCCTTCTTTCGACGTGCCGCGGCGCTGGGCTTGAATCAGCACTGGGTCAGATTGTGGCTGCTGCACTCCGTTCATCAATCGCCATATTAATAACTTCGCCATCTGGCACTACCGGAAGCTGGCCTTCCTTTTTACTCCGGAGTCCGCTATCCTCTCGCGTTTACCTCACGTTGTCGCCATAACGTCGCGCGATCGCTTTTCGACTTCGCCCCAATCCTCCCGCTTCGTACGAGCCGCCCTCGCCCCATTCGACCGTTGGATGCTGCATCTGGCTCAGCATCGGCAGTCTAGTTCGCGATCCGTCTGAAGTCAACGGCACCGAAAAGCGCTTCTAGCCATCATGGCTCCTCCTCCGGCGACAGCGCACATGGCGACGACGACGCTCAAAGTCGAGGGCATGACATGCGGCGCGTGTACCTCCGCGATTGAATCGGGCTTCCAGGGCGTGAAGGGAGTAGGAAATGTGTCAATAAGTTTGGTGATGGAGCGGGCTGTCATCCAGCATGACCCCGAGGTCATCACCGCGGAAGAGGTCAGGGAGATTATCGACGACAGGGGGTTCGACGCAGAAGTGCTCTCGTCGGATTTACCAATGTCGCACAGCGCAGATGACCACTTTCTGAGCGACTCTGAAGATGAAGAGGAGGAGACAAACGGAACGGTCTCCACAACAACGCTCTCCGTTGGCGGTATGACATGCGGAGCGTGCACATCCGCCGTGGAAGGCGCTTTCAAGGACGTGGCTGGAATCAAGTCCTTCAGCATTTCGCTTCTCTCTGAGCGCGCAGTCATCGAACACGACCCTACGATTATATCTCCGGAAAAGCTCGCTGAAACCATAGAAGACGTTGGCTTTGACGCGCAGGTGCTGGATACCGTGGCCGCGACACCAGCGGCAAAGAAGAGCAGGAACCGGAAGCAGCAAAAGACGATGACCACAACAGTCGCTGTTGAGGGCATGACCTGTGGCGCATGCACATCAGCCATCGAGAGCGGGTTCAAGGACGTTGAGGGTGTATACCAGTTCAACATCAGCCTACTAGCCAACCGTGCCGTTATCGTGCACGACCCTTCCAAGCTCACCGAAGAGCAGATAGCAGAGATCATCGAGGACCGCGGGTTTGACGCCCAGGTTCTGTCATCCGTCGATGGTAGCATACAGCAGTCGTCAACATCCAACGCCCCCGTACAACTAAAGATCTATGGACTGCCCAACGCTAGCGCAGGTCAAGAGCTGGAAGGACTGCTACGAAAGAGATCCGGAATTACCTCAGCGACTGTCAACTTCAACTCATCAAGAGCTACCATTCAACGAGAGCCTCAAATCGTCGGTCTTCGAGCTATCGTTGAGGCTGTAGAGGCAGCTGGATACAATGCACTAGTCGCTGACTCCGAAGACAACGATGCCCAACTGGAGTCCCTCGCAAAGACTAAAGAAATCCAGGAGTGGAGAAGATCTGTCATCTTCTCGGCTTGGTTCGCACTTCCTGTGATGTTGATAAGCATGTTCATTCCCATGTTCCTGCCATTCCTCAACTTTGGCGGTATTCGTCTGATACCTGGCCTCTATCTCGGCGATGTCATCTGCTTGGTCCTTACTATACCTGTCCAATTCGGTATCGGAAAACGTTTCTACATCTCTGCGTACAAGTCCCTGAGCCACGGCTCTCCCACCATGGATGTTCTGGTAGTACTGGGTACCTCAGCCGCCTTCTTTTTCAGCGTCTTCTCCATGTTGGTCTCACTCTTGGTCTCCCCACACACCAAGCCGACCACACTGTTCGAAACCAGCACCATGCTGTTCACTTTCATCAGCTTAGGTCGCTATCTTGAGAACCGTGCGAAGGGTCAAACGTCCAAGGCCCTTTCCAGCCTCATGTCGCTAGCTCCGTCCATGACCACCATTTATGCGGATCCCATCGCTGCGGCTAAAGCTGCTGAAGGTTGGGATGTTGCTGAAGAGAAATCGGAACGCACCTCCACTGACGGCAATGCTGCTGAAGAAAGGGTCATCCCCACCGAGCTCATCGAGGTTGGCGACGTTGTTATTCTTCGTCCGGGTGACAAGCTTCCAGCTGATGGTACAGTCACACGTGGAGAGTCGTATCTCAACGAGAGTATGGTCACTGGTGAAGCTATGCCAATACTCAAGAAGAAAGGCGCATTGGTCATGGCTGGTACTGTCAATGGAAACGGACGTCTGGAGTTCATGGTCACTCGAGCCGGCCGCGACACCCAGCTCAGTCAAATCGTCCGCCTCGTCCAGGAAGCCCAAACGAGTCGTGCCCCCATTCAACGCCTTGCCGACATTGCTGCTGGTTATTTCGTTCCAATCATCATCACTCTCGGCCTCGCAACCTTTGTCGGATGGATGGTTCTCAGCCACGTCCTACCTTACCCACCCAAAGTATTCCTTGATCACGCTAGTGGCGGCAAGTTCATGGTTTGCTTCAAGCTCTGCATCGCTGTCATTGTCTTTGCTTGCCCATGCGCGCTCGGTCTTGCAACACCCACCGCTGTCATGGTCGGTACTGGTGTTGGAGCTGAGAATGGCATTCTCGTCAAAGGTGGTGCCGCTCTTGAGACTGCCACAAAGATCAACCATGTTGTCTTCGACAAGACTGGCACGCTCACTGTTGGCAAGATGAGTGTATCTCAGGCAGATATTCAGGGAGGCTGGGCAAGCCCTGATAAGAAAAACCTTTGGTGGACTCTCATTGGACTTGCGGAAATGGGCTCAGAGCATCCTATTGCTAAGGCTATCGTTCTCTCGGCCAAGGAACATCTCCGCCTCGGACCCGATGGTAGCCTAGATGGCTCAGTCGGAGACTTTGAAGCTGTCACCGGTAAGGGTATCATCGCAACGGTTGAAGCAGCCCTCTCTCCTGAGCGTACTCGCTACAAGGTCCTCATCGGTAACATGGCTTTCCTCACATCAGAAGGTGTCAATGTGCCCGACTTCACAGAAGAGCCGCTCACACCTGCTGCAAACTCCAGACCTCGAGGTGGATCCCAGAACCGATCTGCTGGCATCACCACGATCCATACCGCCATCGGCAACACCTACACCGGTACATTGAGCATGTCCGACACCATCAAGCCCTCAGCTCGCGCTGCAATTCTTGCCCTTTCTCGCCTGGGCATAACATCCTCGATTGTTACTGGTGATACCTCTGCTTCTGCCCTTGTCGTTGCAGCAGCAGTTGGTATTGATCCCGCAGATGTCCACGCTTCCTCCACCCCTGCCGACAAGAAAGCTATCATTGAAGACCTCCAGTCGCGCGGCCAAGTCATCGGTATGGTCGGTGACGGCATCAACGACTCCCCAGCGCTCGCCTCGGCTGACATTGGCATTGCTCTTTCTACTGGTACAGACGTCGCCATGGAGGCTGCCTCTATCGTCCTCATGACCAACACGGACCTCCTCTCCATCCCGGCCTCACTAGTCCTCAGCCGTGCCATCTTCTTCCGCATCAAGCTGAACCTGGCATGGGCGTGCATGTACAACTTCATTGGTCTTCCTTTCGCAATGGGTTTCTTCCTACCATGGGGTCTCTCACTACATCCCATGGCTGCCGGTGCCGCGATGGCATGCTCATCTGTCAGCGTTGTTGCTAGCTCTCTGCATCTCAAGTTCTGGCATAGACCTAGCTGGATGAAGGTCAGCGTCCTCGATCCTGGTGCGCCGATCGATGAGAAGGAAGCGGAGATGGAGAAGATGGGCCACAAGGGCGTCTTTTCTACTCTCAAGGAATGGGTCAGTGATGCGTGGGCCGCGAGGAGGCGGAACAAGGAGGAGACAAGCTATATGCCTCTGAGGGATATGGAGCAGCAGTAATCTCGTTCACGCGTGTTTGAGCAGATGTTGTTAGTATTGGCGAAGCGTTTAGGATACCACCTTTTCTTGGTTCTTTTCCTTGTCTGTATGTCGTTGCATTTCCGTTGTTCCTTTTTGGGAGTCCCTGTATATAGCTCTTGACACCCGATATTGTTGTTCCAGCCTCGTATGAATCCAATACGATCTACGCTACAACCACATTCATGTCATGTGAAGATCAAATGTGTTAACTCAATGATATTACTCGTCAAACTAGCGAATGTACACAGAATTGTGATGCGATAGCCCAAGTACTTACCTGAAGCAGCCAAACGTCGGCAGCTTGCCGTGCGCGTGACGAAGTCGCGAAAGCGCGGCGGGCCAGGGTCCACCAATTGGCGTCACAAAGATAAGGCCAAGATGAACAACACAACACCGCACTTGCTTTCCCACTCGAACCTGCCTTATTCGCCCTTGCTCGCTTCGTGGAGCTTACTCGGAACACACATGCGACCGTGAATAGCACCGAATCCCACGTCCTACATCCGCCCGCCGCCAGAAACGTCAAACGAGGCCGCTGCCACCGCTGTTCACCATGGGCAGGAACCGAGCCGTGTCGAATGCGTCGACGCGGAGCAGCGAGCCGCCGTTACAAGTAGGTATGGGCACTTTATGAGTTTGGCAGGACTGTTGCTGAGTAGACGCAGGAGCTGGGGAGTATGTATGATTACCTGGCCAAGGTAGTGCTGTTGGGACCCAGCGGCGCTGGAAAGTAAGTTCGCGATAAGAGCGAAGACATTGTACCAAACACCGAATAACCAAGATACGCCTATAGATCCTGCCTCCTCCACCGCTTTGTAAAATCCGAATGTAATCTTCCCTCCCATCTCCTCTCTCCCCTCTCCACCGCCATCAACAACCCCCCCACTAACACTCTCTCCCACTCACAGGGCGCGTCCTCTCCAGCCAAACAATCGGCGTAGAATTCTCCTCCAAAATCGTACACATCGCCGACCGCCGCCAACGCTCGCCCTCGTCCCCCTCGTCGCGCAAACGGATAAAACTCCAGTTATGGGACACAGCAGGCACAGAGCGCTTCCGCTCCGTCTCACGGTCCTACTACCGCGGCGCTGCAGGCGCTATCCTCGTGTACGATGTAGCCAGCTGGCGCAGCTTCGAGCAGTTGAAGACGTTTTTGGATGATGCGAGGGCGTTGGCGGGGCCGGATATTACGATTATACTGGCGGGGAATAAGGCCGATGTTGAGGATGGGGGGGTGCCTATAGGCATGAATAGTGGAGGAGGGGGAGGAGGAGGATATAGCAGTTATGCCAGCACGCCCTCGTCGGAATCTGGTCTCCCTCCACCCACGCCCTCCTCGCAAGCAAGTCGCACGCCCTCACTCAACGCCAATCTCCACGCGAGCTACACCGTTGCGCCCGACGGCCGCGAAGTCCCCGCCGAAACGGCTTCTCGCTGGGCCGGCCAGAACGGTATCCCCGTTGCTGTCGAAGTCTCCGCATTAAACGGAGAGAACGTGGAAGAATTGTTTTCCCGGTTGGCGCGCATGATTCTCACAAAGATTGAACTTGGAGAAATCGATCCTGATGACCCGGCCAGTGGGATCCAATACGGCGATCTGGGATGGGATGATGGGGGCGGGAGTGTGAGGAGTGGGTTTGGGGATGAGGGGGTTAGGTTGAGGAGGAGAGGGGGGAAGAAAGCTGGTGGTGCGTTGGGGGAGTGGGAGGATGTTTTTAGGTTGGGTGGGGGTGGGGGGAGGAGGAGAGGGGGCTGTTGCTGACGCTATTAGAGGGGATCAGATTGGGAAGGGGAAGAGGTGTGTTTCTTGGTTTGTTATATGTTTGTATATGCGGCATACCCCCGGTGTTTTTTCTTGAGAGGATATATAGATAGATTGACGATGTAATGCGGGTTAGAGGGTCTTTGGGCACATATGAATGAGACAAGTTCGTTCAATTCTGACTGCTGCATATAATTAACTCAAAGTGTGTTTGGGAATTGAACCTCGTAAGGATTGTCATAGAGGTACCTGACGGCATTTTGTTACCCTGCTTTGCATCGACATTCCACCGTCATAGAAATCGAGCTGTAGGACATGTGTCTTTCCCGGAAAGTACGAACAACCTCTTTTTCTAGAAAACATATCATCATTTACAGACTCATCTCTATATACCCGGGTATGTCTACTCCAAAGCCAAAAACAAAAACGCTATGCCAAACGCCATCCCTTCATTCACAATTCCAAGCATGGACACATGCATCACCCCCTCACGCCTTCCCCTCAACAACCTGCCCCAGCGCCTCCCCCTCAACCATAGCATCCCCAGGTCCCTTCCCAGCACTCCCCACCTTCTCCAGCGGGCTCATAACCTTCTCCTCCACCCTCTTCTCCTCCCCGTCCACACTGATATTAACCCAACCCCGTACACTATCCTTCGTCCGACTGAGGATAGTAGTATCATTAACCAGATTCCAGCCCTTTGCCGGCCCTGCCTCAACATCTAGTTCCAAATCCGCGGCACTCGTATTCGCAACCCTGACACCGTTCTCCCTCAACACCTGCAGTATCGCGCGTGTGTTCAGCCTCAATACGCGTTCAGGCTCCTTCGCGCCGAAGACTTTGGTTGTAACCCAGGGGAACAGGACGCCGAAATCGGATTGAGAGAGATGCGCTGAGGCGATGGGGTAGAAGATGTGAGGGCCAGGCTGATTGGCGTATTTCGACTGTGAAGGGGAGGGAGGAGCTAAGATGGATTTCGTTTCGCGGAAGTTGGAGGACCAGTTGTAGAAGCCTTCGGAGGCGATGGCTAGGAGGTTTTTGCCGCCGGAGGGAGCGTCGTAGCAGGGCATGGGTTTAGAGCGGAGCCAGCTTGTAGCGGGGCTTTGGATGGGGAGTGTCCAGAGGTCGAGGAGGGTGACGGAGTTTTGGGGTGTGATTTGTTGGACTAGGCTGGAGTCTTCGGAGGGGGTGTAGAGGGGTTTGTAGCTTGTGCTTGGGGTTGAAGGGCGGTGGTAGACGGATTTTACGAATTGAACCATTGTGCATGCGCCGAAGGAGTGGCCTGCGTAGCTGATGGAGCCGGGCTCGTGGATGTTGAGGATGTTGGAAAACATGCTGAGTAGGTTCTTTCCCTTAGGTTGGTCTTGGGCTACGTTCTTGAGTTTACGTCCTTCGTCGATTTTCAAGACCGCATCGTGTACCATGCCCAACTCCCATAGCCGTATCTTCAGTTGCTCGTCTCGTGCCTCGTATACTTCCGTGCTCGCCTTGTGCGCAATCGATCGGTAATCTACGCGCTTCGTCTTCTGCTTCTCTTCTGGTGTGTGGTGGATGGCGAGAGGCGAACTGCCATCGCGATGGTCTGCTGCTACCACGACAATTCCGTGACTTGCAAGCGACCCGCAGATGTGCGAGTATGCGTTCCGTGTGCCTCCCAGTCCGTGGGAAAACATCATAACGGGCCATCGATCGGACTTCGGCGGGGGTGCGAGGAGTTCGGCATTTTGGTGTACAGGCATAGAAATATAATAAAGTAGTTGTGGCATCAATCTAGACAACTGTCAGTATCATGCTCATCCCAATCGCATCTCACGGTACTTACGAGAAAACGCTCGCAAACGCGCTGTTCGCCCCCAGAAACCTCGCATAAGCACTAATGTATTCCCTCTGCGGGCTCGGTATCCATCTCACAGCCTTCTCATTGCTGTCTTGTTTACAGGGGTAGAAGATGCGGAAAGCGACAGTTGGTAGATCCGCAGGAGGCGCATCCGCGCTGGGGCTGTCCAGGTCGCTCGTGGGTATCTCTACATCCACAGAGCCGACCTTGTACGGTCCCGTATGCTGTGGGAAGCCCGGCGTGGGATTCAATCGATGGAGCCACGACATATCGGCAATCGCAAGCGGGTTCGCTGTTCCAAGCGGAAGCCGCGAAGGAAGAGCGCGGGTAAGAGATCTAAAAGCGCGTGAGAACGACAGTATGATTGTCAAAGAACGTAACAATCAATCTTCAAACGAGCCGTGAATCTAGCAAAGAAACGAACAGGCCGTAGCAATGGGGGTGTACGAAGTGAGTTGTGGAGGAAAGTCTAGATCAGAAACGGAGCCGCACCCACACGCCTATATCATGGAAATCTGAAGAACATGCCAGTGACGCACGAAAGCCCATGCTTGCGCTTACGCTACTGCCAGGGCACCGGAAACTGGGCATCCATCCTCGGAAGGGCACGCGACCCCCGAGTGCTTAGCCCGCCGGTGACATCCATGACTGTGGCAAATGTAAATTTGTGGCATGGAGATGCCGAGGTTTCGGACGCGTTACGGCGGATCCAGAAGTTTCCCCAGCGCGTCAGCATGCGAGATATGGGCATACTGTGGGAATTCTTCGGAGAGCAGGAAGCTGGATTGATGGGTGCTGTAGGTATTCTGCTGGATCAAGCTCGGATAGGCGTGGGGAGTGGCTTACAGCATGATCGCGTGCGCATGCATTATCCTTTTTCATGATGACGACACGCCAGACGTTTAGATCCGCGCATGCGCGAGATCGCGCTAGGCTTCACGTCGCCGCGTCTGGCCACACCACGAAACTTCTCGCCGCGGTACTCTACTACTACTACTGCATCTATCTGAGTTTTGGTTCGAGCGACGCGTTGATCAATTTGGTACGGAATTCCGTCGATTTCCAAATCTGCATCGAGACCGACTATTGCCCCGACGTAAGAACTATCGATGCAGGTGGTGAGAATAATGTCCCGATGTAGTTCCGACATGGTGGGTGACATGTGATCGTCATGTAGCTCCCGAGTAGCGCGCGCGATCGTGAGGTAGACTGGACGTGATGCAGCATCAGTGATGTGGATTATTGACAACTCATCGAATGAAGAAATGTACTGCGTATGAGTTGCGTCGATCCATGATACAGACCTGGCAGACGAGGAAGCCTAAGAAAGACACATATCCTAAAGCCCGAGACAGTCTTGACCTCTCAATTTTGATCGTT